GAAGAAAAAGAAGAATTGCCCTCAAACACATCAGAATCAAAACCCAATTTGAACACCTAACCCCTGACATCACTACCTTTAGGAACCTCCGAATAATAAGAACACTTCTCGACAACAAAAGGGAACGTATGATCATCCGGTTTAACGACATTCCTCACCATCCATTGTAAACTCCGAACCTGGTATGAACTCCACCAATCGGGTCATGATCAAGGGCTCCGTTTGTTAGGATGAGTGTTGCTTCCAACGGTGAGCTTGTCAACATATGAATGACATCTCTTCCATACACTAAGTAATTGAAACCATCTTCTCTGCCATGACGACAACTGACCTGAAGTGGAAAAATTTGAACACAAATTTCCAATTATCTTGGGCAAAAGGACATTTGCATACCATATGATCCACAAACTCTGCCCTCAAATTCAATTGAACTGGCATTTTTTCATGAAGACACACCAAAGAACCATACCACCAGGAAGTATTGTAACCCCAGCAATCTATATTCTTTTCAATTTCGAAGTAATATTTCAAAATATTAACTAAAAATTAAGGTAATAATTACATGCCAAGTTCATCATCAAAGTCAGACTTGGGACTTAATTAACCTTCATTTATGCTCTAATATGAGCGTGACCTTTTTATTTTTCTCCCGAGCCAGCGAGGAATGCCATTCTCTAGCCTAACGGATTCATGTCGCCATCCATGGTCTTCCTTTAAGAACGCGTGACTTAGACATCTTCACATCCTCATAATTGGTGAGTTTGTTTCCTTAATTAAAGAAAGATGAAATGAATTTTTTAATTATATTTTTATTGGAATGACTTATGAGAGGAAACTAAAAAGGTCAAAACAACAGGTTGCTGGTTCAAATTCAATACTCTCACCAATATGCTCGATTTATAATGAGTGAGAGTTGCAAACACCCCCTTTTGTTCCAACTCTAAATTCGAAAATCTAACTTCAACAATGGGCGGAGAGAATCTCAAAAACTTTAGAGCATCCAAAACCTTCGGATAGTTATAAAAGTTAGATTGTTTGTCTAGTTCTGAAAGTATTTTGTTGCATCTAGAAAACGCTATTCACGAAAATTTTCCTTAATGTAAAAAATTATTTTGTATGACAATGCCACTGGATGATTAAAAATCATTTAAAATATATAATATCAATACACTAGTCTATTATGATATAATTGCATTCTATTTATTTATTATATTCTAAAAACATAGTTTGCATAATGGAAATATTTTCAATCGGTGGTTATTCAAATGAGCATCTTTTCCCGAACTTTAGTTGTCAAAAATAATATATTTTGAAATTTTTTTTTTGTTTGTTATTTTACTTTTAAAACATAGTTATCACATTTTACTAGTAGAATGGAAGGGTTTGCAATTGTGAATTCTAAATTATTAGTGGCATGAATTATATAATTCTCAACTCACAATTCTAACTGTTATAATTCTCTAATAAGTCCTCGCCATTCAACTTACGAAAGTCAAGACAAAATGAACCATGTCTAATTGGTATTTTACTGCTGACAAAAATTATGGTTTGTCAAGGCTCATGATCCGTGGGCAAGAATAATCATCTACTGTTGCCATGCAAAACAATGGCAGAAATTCAGATATGGTACTTCATTTACAACATATTGTTCCTACTTTTTTCGATAAATAAGAAAATTTCGATTAATTATATTGCTCCAACTTTGTTCCCAAAAAGGTTGAGAGAATGCACCTTTCCGAACACTTGCACTGCATAATTCAATAGGTCAAAAGATAAGTTCACCTTTATCGACTATTTTAAATACAATTGAAGTATTTTTAATAGAATTGAAGTATTTTTTCTAGGTAAGTCAATTGAAGTATTTTTAACTATGTACAAATAAACAGTTTTTTTTGCATGATATTTTGGTAAACAACTTTTGCCGAAACATATATTATTTTATTTGAATGAATATTAGCAAAAATTAGGTGGGTTTACTGCTCGTTCACATATGGATATTAGGGGTGGGTAAATAATTCGTGAATTCGATCTGATTCGGTCCGATCCATGCGGATCAGATCAGATTGCTACACTCACGTACGGATAGAATCATAGATTGGGCTGTTAAAAATCCGATTCAATCCGTAAGTTCGATCCGATCCGTGAAATATATATATATATATATATATATATATATATATATATATATATTAGTTAATGATAATTTAATGGATTCGAAGAATGTATTCGTTAATAATTATTTAAATATATGAATTAATATAAATAAATTAAAATTTTATTTATTGAGTTATGGTTAGAAGATAGATAAATAATAAATAATATTAATTATAAAACAATAATAATAATAATAATAATAATGGATAATTTAGATAAAATCCAAAGTCTGATTATATAACACTAGAGTCTATAATGATATAATAGCCAGTTTTTTATTTTTATTTTTTTATTATTATATCCTGAAAACATACTATTGATTAGGTCATATTTACCTTTCAAAAAAATATACATTTTTCAACCCTGTTCAAATAAACATCTTTTGCATAATATTAATTGTCACAACCATATACTTATAATTTTTATAGTTAGTTGGTTTATGTATGCATATATTGAAAAAAAAAATGTATGCATGTATTTATTTAAATCAACATAAGCAACCACTTTAATCCCTCCCCAAAGAAAACAAAATAAGCAGAAGCAATCTTGTTTTTAATTAAATACTTGTTGAAATGAAGTATTGGAGGAAACTTACAAAAATGAAAAAGCACCTTTCTTTTAATCATTAAATCAAGATTATTTAATGATTGATGATAAAATGTAACTATTTAAGTAAACAGAAATTGATAGATGATAAAATTTAACTAGTTGAGTACAGAAGTTGATAGATGATAAAATTTAACTAGTTAAGTAAACAGAAACTGGAAAAAATATGTTGGATCAAGATTGGTTGCAAAAACTCCAAATCTTGAGATGTATTGACGATGAGTACATAACGCAACTTGAGTAGTAAAACACCAAGAATATTTATCTTCCCACTATTGTAACACCTTCTTCTCTATTGAAAAATAAAAAATAAAAAATGCAATATGAATATTAGAAAAATTATTTTTTTATTATTTATAAATTATAACGATAAATAATCTGATCTTGGTTGGATTTATTTCTTATGCTCACATTTAACTTTTTATTTAATTTTTTCTTTTCATTGAGTAATCAAGACAAAGATGGCAGGAAGATAATGTGGTGTGAAATTTAATTTCAAAGAATAAGTTTAAAAAATATTACAATTCTAAAATAAAATTAATCATGCTCTCCTTCTTAATTTCTTTTGAAAAGTCTCATTCAAACATAGCATATATGATATATCTAGTGTGTCTACACACTGTTCACTAAGGTTTTGGATTCATATAAGATCCATCTACTTGACAATCTTTATGACGTTCTAACTCACACCATATAACATCCAATTACACACATACCACTCTTCATGAGAATTGATATTTTTTCATTCGTGTTCAAATGAGCATCTTTTACAAGATATTAATTGTCACAATTTTTTTACATATGCATTTAGCATTTTATTTTGAATGAACATTATCCATTCACAACTTTTTTACATATGCATATAGCATTTTATTTGAATGAACATTATCAATAAATTAAGTGGAGTTACAACTAGTTTACATATACATGAAACAATTTATTTAAATCAAACATGAGCTAACAACTCATTATAAAAAATTATTTTGATTTTGTCATTTCAATTTATGAGGGACTAAATGCAATTTTTAATTATATTTTAATTTGAATGAAATGGTGGAGGAAATTAAAACAATGGTGGTCTCAAACCAAAATGGTGGTCTCGAAACACTCTCTTTTAACTCAATCCATACAAAGAATGGAATTTTGTCAATCTTGTAGGTTCTTGTATTAAGTTTTTGTTATTGGAACTTGTTATTGGAATGAAAACTAGTGTTGTAAGTAATTCCTTTTAATAAGAAGATAATTATAGGTAATTCTTTCGATATGGACAACAATCAATTACCATTCAATGCACAGCAAGTTAAACTGACTCCAAATAGAGACAGCCAAAAGCAAAAAAGACAATATTAATATTAGTATGTCTTTGTACATACATAATATATTTGTGTAGTGATAAAGTTCGTGGTACCTCCTTACCTCTCGAAAGGTTAAGTGTCGGTAGGATATCCAAGTGTGACTTGGAATCGGAATATCAATCTATTTACAAGGAAAAAAGCATTAGAAGTTAAACAACAAACTTATTTTTACACACCCCGGTTAACATGTGGGCTTTCTTCATATCCACATGCTATCCATAGCATGATACTATCAAATCTTGGTCCATGTCATTCTCACTCAGGAAATTCCCAAGTGTCAGTGACTACTACTTTTATCCCACTGGATTGGGTTGCTCTCTGTCATGGTTTGGACTGTTTGGATGGGCCATCGGTGTCTTAGTCCATACTTGCCATGTGCTCAAGAAAAAGACCATATTATGTTGGTATTCTATTTTGCAACAGTGGCTGGTTGCTTATATACACCTTCAAAAAGCACTGTTTGCCCTAATAGATCATTCACATCCAACTTACAAAATCCAGGGAAAATGAACCATGTCTTAAATCTTAATTGATAGTTCTACAGCTGACAAAATTCTGGGTCATCCGTGAACGGGGAATAAATATCTACTGTTTGTGCAAACCAAATGGCAGAAATTCAGATTTTATTTGAACTTACAAACGATATTGGTCAATCAGTATCAAATCAGGTTCCTACTTTGTGCCCAGGAAGGCTCGGACAATGCACACCTTTCAGAACACTTGCAGCTGCACGATTCGGTAGGTCAAGTTTTGGTTCAGATTCTATAAGATTTTAAATGCCCAGAACAATATTTGGATTGTGAGGGTAGCAAATAAACAAATATTTTAAAAGCAAGCAGACTATAGAAGCATCACAACAGACTAATGCACATAGGCGCCATAAAATTTATTCTGAAAGAAAGATATATTATGAAAGCATAAAAAAGACACTGCTCAGTAGTGAAATGATGAAGATTCATATCAAGTTCTGATCTTTCCACGGATAGTGATAGAAAGAAGCCATGAAACAAAATTCAATGAAAAATATCCTTAATAAAGCAACACAAAATATTCCCATGAAACTAAGGACAAAAAGTTAAAATTTTCGAACTTCCTGTAAACCAATCTACCGCTCTATCATTCAAGAGGAAGCACCACTTCTTAGAGCATGATTCTTTCTGGGTTTCCTTGGAGCCAACTGGGTCTCAGGCTGCAAAATTCATGGGCCATATTAGATGCAATGCTAAATACATGAACATAAAATGCAACCCGTGCTCAAACATTGTGACATTGCAAAATATATTTTTCTCTAAATGGACTTTAAACTCAAATATTTAGATAGGATACCTCCTTCGTGACAGTTTCTTCCTTTTCAGACAAAATCAACTCAATGTGGCAGGGAGATGACATGTAAGCTGCAAAAGGGTACAAAGATTGTTACTAATTACACATGTTACGTAGGAAGAAGGTACTGAACCCAAACAATGGAAAAAGGCAACGCACGATTAATTCTTCCATGAGCACGGTAGGTTCGACGTCTCTGCTTCTGAGCCTGGTTTACCTGGATGTGAGATATGTAAAGTGAATCGACATCCAAGCCTTTGACCTTAAGAAAGAAGACAAGTTGACAGCAACAAAATTGTTATTAGTAAACAAAACAAAACAAAAAAGGAGCAAAAGAAACAAGAAAACCAACGGAAAATGATACGCACTTCTGCATTACTCTCAGCATTTTTGAGTAAATCCAGAATAAATCCTGCAGATTTAACAGGCCAACGTCCTTGCCCATTTGAGTGGCGGTTCTTTGCTTGAGCAGTTCGCCCTACTCCTCTGCAGAAACGAGTGAACGGAATGGCTTGTTTGTGTACAAGAACATCCTCCAAATACCTTTTAGCCTTGGCCAATGGCAACTTCCGAATTGCGTGGGCTGTCTCTCTTGTGTTCTGAGTACAAAATACAGAAAAGTAATAAGAAGAAGTGACAGTAGCATTCGGAAATAGCCACTGTTGTAGCACCAAGCACACAGAATATCAATTACACAAGGAAACGAATATGCCTCTAAAACAAATAGAAAACAATTTCTGGCATAATTCAGAGCATAGATAACAGTATTCTATATCTCTGTCCCATACGCAACAATACAGAACTTGCTATATTATACCATCCAAAAATATGACAACTAACATATCAGAAAAGGTAAACAAAATCAATACATAACATCTTAAGGGTCCAATTAGTGTAAGTTCCATTGTTCAGTAATCAGCATCTTACAGCAAGTTCAACCATGTTTATTCTGAAAAAAATCTCCAAAATATTCAGGAACTTCTTAACTCAAGTCGCATTCAAATTAACAGAAGGACACAAGAAAATGACAAAAGGGTGGCTGGAGTAATTAACAGAACAGTGTCCCTATATATTATGAATTATGATCTGTACTGCAATAAAAATTTGTGTGAATAAACATAGTTGAAACTACCAATGATGTAATCAACATCAAGTTACTAATATATAAATAAGCACACTTGAGCAGAAATGAGAGTAGATTGTGATTTCACAACTGCCAGAAACTCAGTTTATGATCTATACTGTATGCTACAGGCCTAATTTCACTGACATTGTTGGCATTGATCCAGTGTGTTCTTTGCTCATTAATAAAAGCATCCTTCAGTGATATAGACATAATAAATTTTAATATGATTTTTTGGGTAGCACACGAACATTAGCTATAATAAAATATTTAAGATCAGAAGAAATTATAAACAAATCTGGTGAATGTCTTCTACATTTTTCCTTAATATTTTCATCCTAAAGAAGTGAGCATGTCTAATAAATAGTGTTTAAGCTCAAGGAGGCTAGAAAAACAGCTCTTATAAAATCACAATAAGAGGACACGGTTCAGATATTTGTTTGTGTACTGCACAATATAGAGATTCTAGGGCCACATCAGCACTCTCGTTTGATTAGGTAACTGCAAGCTATTTGAGAGGCAAGCATGGGGGTGGAGTGGTTAGGTAACTCTTAATGGGAAAAACACATAGGCAGATGAGTATAAAGGGGTTGCATCCCTTCGTTAATTTATCTATTTATAATTCAAGTGGGGAAGTAGATATCCACCTTTGATACTTTGAGCCACAAAACACAACACATGAACATTGATTTTTTAAATAAATAAATATAATAAAATAACATAATAGAATGGAGGACCATAGTAAAAATGCGGCACTATTTACTGAACCTTTGTCACTATACACTTGAAGAGGCTCACACAATAATAATGCAATATAATACCCTGAATTTTACAAGACTCATTCACAATAGATTACAGGCCCCTGCTTTCTTCATCAGGTTGAAACATCTCGGATATAAATTATGAAGTCAAAATTCTTATTCTGTGTTTAACCTCATAAATACAAATCTGGGATATAAAGTCAGAATTCTAATTCTGTCATTAGTATTACATGTACACAAAAACTGAGAAAGGCAACCATAAACATCATAGCATATTCGTTCCAAATAATATAATGTCTGAAGCAATACTATTAACACTTCAACAAGGTAGTGAGCAAAATGTAGCACATCCTGTTGCATCTTAAAGCAAAAAGTACAGCAAATAACCACAATATATGAAGAACTACTTTGTAACATTATACAATACTGCATAATTAATTGGGCAACGTTACAGATGACACAATCACAAATCAAAATTATCAATTTCAAGTATTAAATACCAAATAAACAACCAAGTCAAAATACCTTAAAATGAACTCGAAGATCGGAGCCCCTAGCCTTGCAAGCTGAAGTATACCACACACGAATTAACAAAGCACAAAATCAGACTAAAATTATATACTATTTCTCTGTTTGGTAGCCGCGAAAAAGAAGGAAAATCAAGCTTGAAATTTTCTTAAATTCGGACTACCAAAAAGAAAGCAAAAACGAAATCAAACCCGCCATAGTTTCTTGTAAATTGTGACCACAATGAATGAGTTTTGAGGACTTACACTTGGTGGGATTGACGGGTTCCTTCGAATACTTCACCTGAAGTATCAAGATACATCACAAACAACAGATTACAAGAGGAACGAAAAGATCAAAGATCGAAACATTACATGAACAAACACGAGAGATGATAAGGAAGAAGATCATATGGACTCACCATGGCAGCAGCTGATGTTGCTGCAACAAGTGAGAGAAAGCGAAAGAGAAAGAGAGAGCCCTAGTTGATAGGGTTTACTAGGATGGGTTGGGCTGGGCTTCTCTCAATTGGGTCAACCGAGTGGTGGATTAGATCGGCTTATATATTGATTTGTATTGAGGGCCTTGTAATATGCGTGAAATCATTATTTTGGTTTATATTTATTTTTTGTTACAAATAATACACATTCTTAATTTGCTTATACACAGTTGAGCCATCAATCTCTCAATTTGAAAATTAAGGATTTACAAGCACCTACTAGTACTAATATGTATTTGATTGCTTATGAGTATATTGCAAAAAAAATAAAATTAACCCCAAATAAATTTCACATAAGATTGGAAACAGATTTGAACTTATATTTCGTTAACCTAGAAGGATACTCAATTTTATTTTTTTTTTCATAATTAACGCATACTCAATTTATGAAATTATAAATGGTGTTATTGGATGAATTGAACTTACTCTTTCTTTATTTTCTTTTTTGAGTCATTTCTCAATAATGAGAATTGCATGTGGTGCAATCAATTTCTTTTGCATTTTTGAGTAATGAGGAGTGTCTTCACTTCGAGTAAGTCTGAAGGTTCGAGTCTCCAAATGATAAATTGCCAATAAGTTCCAACTTTTAAGGCTCTCAAGAGAGTGGCAAAATGCATGATAGAGAACAAATTTCAATGGTCAACCACCAGAATGGGCAAATAGGGCTTGACCAAGTCGATTGGCCTAATTGTCCAAACATAATTCGTTTAAATATCCACTTGTTTCTTGTTAACATGAATAAACATCCACCAAAAGAGCTAATACATTAGCAACATACAATTTTACAAAAATGTGGTCTTTGAAATCGATCAAACTGAAAACACACTAAGTTACATCAAACACAAGAAAATCATCTACTTTCCTGACGCTCCATGTTGTACAGAAAACAAATTAGTTCCTCCTTCCATTGCCTAAACTACGCTTGGTCATTCGTACCTCTCAAGCGCGCTATCAGTTCATCCTGCCATGACCACGCAGAAGTGAGCCAAGAACGAAAGTGAGCAAGATATGGGAAATTTTCAGTGTCAAACATATCTAAGCATACACAATCAATGGGCTCCTTCAAAGCCATCGATTGGATATTCCTACAGAACCAAGATTGATTGAACCACAAATGCACAGTAAAGGAGCAAAAATCGAATAAAATGTCCTGATACTTGCCTTTTTTCCTTTCAGGGAGAGACCTTTCTCCCTTAACAGAGCACGGAGTCTCTCTACAGTCAAACTCTGGAAATCCTTGTCAGGTCCACGAGATTTTGATCCCTCTATATGCTCAAAAACCAATATATTATCAAAATAACAGTATTAACATTTATATGAGTTTTTGAAAGGAAATACCAGTTCCCAAAAAAATAATAATAATAAAAGAATATCCGGCAATTAAAGAACAAGCTTGAATGAGCAGTGTGTGCAATTATCAACAGGTAACAGCAAAATATGCAAGGAAACCATTTTCAGGCAAATTTTACAAACATTGCATTCAAGACATGGTATCTCTTAAAAAATCTATTATTATTGATTGTTAGCTATCTTATTGCTGGGATCCTACAGGCCTAAAAGTGCGTGTCTGCAACCAATATCAACCCATGAAAAAAACAAATGCAGCTAGCCATAGAGCCTAATAAACACACTATAACTCCAAGGTAAAGAACCCTACATTAAGAGAGTATGATAGCTCAAGATATAATAAAAAATAAAAAAACAAAATAAGTCCGTAGACATCAAAAAAGAAACATCATATATCCATACTCCCTAGACATCAAAATAACTTCAACAGTGATGTTATAGGCAGTTAAAACTCACTTACAAATGGCCATGGATGTGAATATTTCTCAGACAGTAAACATGAATTAAAGTTTAAAAAATAAAATCTCAGAGGAAAAATTTAAGGGAATGCCATATCACATCAAAAGCTTAAGCTTATATGAAATAACCTAAGTTTGACCTTTTGCAGAATTATTTCTAAAACTAAAAAGGATCTCATCGATCATCATTTGTTAAACTAAAATCACCCATGCATTTAGAGGTACCTCAGCATTTCTAACTATATGTTCTGCAAAAGCCTAACCCAGCTGTTACATGATTTAGATATGTGGTCAACACATTCAAATTCCCATCATGACCTGAAATGGTTTGCATTCCAAGTAAAACAGATCCAAATCATCCAATCTAGCTAGTCAACCACTCATGGAGATTGAATATGAGAGCTCACCTTGTCGAGTACCAGCCTGATTGTTGGTAATGGCTCTCTTAGCTGAAGGCCTGCCATCCAAAGCTCTTTCTGCGACTCTGAAATATAAGAAAACAAGAGTACATAAGACCAACTGTAATCAAATATGCAAGCATGAAACACCCATGTGCTGGCTGCTATGTAAACAAGAGTTACCAATTAATGAATGTGTAAATGCATACATATGGAGATCATACAGTGATGTACCACACATGCTAATTCAGGGGGGGAGAGAGAGAGAGGGAGAGAGAGAGAGAGATGGGAACTGATACCTCTTTCTAGAAGCCTCATTAGCAGCTAAACTCTTTACATCTTTTGAACTGGAATCACCCTTCTGTTTCTTAAGCATAAGAGACCTAATCAGTATGTTCATTTGGTTTGTTTTTATCAGCTGGTCCTCTGGAAATACAATCATGGAAAAGTCAGATCTTACAGTTTCACAGATAATTTTCCCAAAATCAAGCTCCATTTGTGGAAAAGAAGTTATAACCCATATAGATCAGTTAAAAGTGATTATTTACATATCATAATAAGAGATAAATAGATGACAAAAGGTAATTAAAAAGTTTCTTCCAAAAGACCACAAAAAATAGGAGTCATTTGGAAACCAAAGGGGAAGTACATAAACTTTTCTTGAAGCCTAGAAATACATTGAGATGCTCGAGAACAACGATTAGATTTCTTTTGGTGCAAAGGTAAGCCAAAAGAACATCGATTAGATTTCTTTTGGTGCAAAAGGTAAGCCAAAAGAATAAAGAGTTGGGTAGATAGGAGGCCAATCCATCTTCCCAAAAATAATACAATCATGTCAAGGTTAAAAGGCGAATCGTATATTGTTCTTATGATTTGTTTGGTATGAAATATGGAAAATCGGATGGAAGGGAAAAGATAGAAGAGGGAAAAAAGAAAAAGAAAAGAAAGAAAACTAGTGAAAGGAAAGTGCATTTCCTCGTGTTGTTTGGTTGAATGGAAAGAAAAGAAGGCAGGAAAGGGGCATTACATGACCATTATATATATAGACATTCGTGTTTGTGTGCATATAAATATGACAGATTTGATACAAGGTTAATAAGGTCAATTCATGTGCCATATCCCCTTCCCCCATCCATTTTGCCCAATTTGGCAGATAAGAATTTTGCGCAGAGAAAGAGCTCCTATCTTCTCCCTTCCTTTTCCTCCCCAGGTCCCCCCCGCCCCCCCCCCCCCCCCCCCCCCCCCCCTCCTCGTTCTTGCAATTCTTCCTCTTGCAATTCTTCCTCACCAAACACATCTTTAGTGCTTTATGAAGAATCATTCAATTCGTGCATGACTTTGGCTTATAACCAGGAATATAAAAATTGAGCAGCAGTTATCTACTATAAGAAACTTAAACTTACTGATCTTTGTTTGAAATCAAAAAAATGGAAGTCTCAATTATGAATGTAACTATCCACCTGCTGATTGGAATGTGGCCAGAATTATTAATCAAACTAAGAATGATTAAGATTTGCAGCATTCACATTAATAGATTCCAAAAAAAATAATAAAATATCTTGCAATTTAGCAGGCGGAGGAGATTTAATTTCAGGGTAAAAGCTGAGACACTCTAGTTTCTTGTATATCTTCTTTAAAACATATAAATGAATATATGTAGTTAATAATCAAGTTAAGTTAGGTGTAAGAAATGCTACCTAAGGAGGAAATGGGGTCGAGGAGGGCAAAATGAAAATAATTTTCTTCTTGTTATGGGCCTTAACATATATTTCAAGACTAAGAACAAACCATATATTTTCTTAGAAGGTCTAATTTAAATTTAAATGAAACTTCTATATAAAGGACATTTGAAAATTTTGGAGGTGGCCATGGACTATACATAGATCTGTCGCTGCCTTCCAATCAATTTAAGTCTAATTGAAGTGTCCACTGACTGAACCACTCTCTGCTTCAAGGAAGTTTAAGATTTAAATTGCATACAGGAGGGACAGAATTAAAGGGTCTCAGATCAATTCTGACACGATTTATAACTTGGATCTTGTCTTTGCACAATTGCATACTGAACTACATTGCATATGTAAGCCTTTAATAAAAATGGATACTTATTTTTCTCTTTAATTTTTAGTTTACATTACTTTAGTTAACATAGTTATTTTTGCTTGGAAAATGGTCATGGTAGACTTTTAGTAATTGAAGATGGTGCTCAACACCTAGGAAGGCTTAACCAAGTCTCTAATATGTATTCAAGGGATATAGCAACTAGAATCTGGATTCATATTATTTGAAAATTCATATGGGTTGGCCTATGTTCTGATACAAAGTACAGTTTGAATACCAATATATCTTATATCCAATTGAGTAATAAATCATACACACCCAAATCCTAAATCCTAAATCCTAAATACACACACACAAACACACACACACACATATATATAAAGGTCACGAGGAAAGTTTCATAATTTTGGATATGTTACAAATTAATTATTTGCCTTAACAATTTTTTATATCTAGAGCACAAACTTCTCAAGTAGATATTAAAAGATCAACAGCTCAGCTATGTTGATCTTACTAACATCCAGATAAAAATAATAATAATAAGAGGATAAAAAAATTCATGGTTCCTCTAGAGTGCAGAAAGAAAACTAGAAAACTTTAGGAATTGAAGGTGACATGTACAATTTAGCACTTGTTCATTTTTCTGCTTTATATACCATGGGGGAAATAATAAAGTAGTACAGAAATATACCTGGGGGTGATGTGTTGTGATCGCAAATATAAACTCGCATGCCACCCTGCACAAATTCAAAATGTTAAAAAAAGGACATGAAAACAAAAGCAAGCATGACTATATTTAATGTGGCACTCTTTTAAGGTTGCATAACTCAGAGCTTTATGGATGATGATGTATATGTAATGGATTAAATGGAAGGTTGAGCTTCTACCTGGGTTTGTAGTAGTTTGATGACTTCACTTATAAAATCAACGTAAAAGTTGAAACAAGTAAAGAACATTTTTCACCCTACAAAAAATCTAAAATTAAAATATTAAAGGATACTAAATTACAACTAAGATGATGAAAACTTAATCTACTGCTTGAAGATGGTAGTAGTCTGCCTGTCCTTCTGTAAGTTTTGGCTGTTATATAATTTACTGTAGTACTTAAATTTGTCATTTAAAGCTCCAGATGCTGTAGAAGGTCAACAAGCTCTCCTTGTGGAACAATTTTCTCTCTTGCATGACACAAAAGATGCCATTATCTGTCTTTAAACCACTTAAATCTAAACAAAGGTGCCCATCCTAGAATCTATTCTTTATAAGAATCTGGTTAATAATTTTCACACAGTCTCTATTTTTCAACATCAGTCATTACCAAATTATGTCATTTCACATGCAGTAATCCAAATCAAAATGTAAAAAATTTCTAATGAAAGGCCCAATATAGATTCCAGAAGATGGCTCAATACTCGTATCGTTTCTGTTTGGCCTCACATTATTACAACACTGCTAGTAACGCTTGAGAGTTTGATTCATCAAGCATACAACTTGTCCTCCAATCAATCCCAAACACCATATAGCAGGCACACCCATTATCACTTTGAAAATGCATCTCACATTTTATTTCACTATTTTTAATCTTTAAAATTATTTTCCTAGTAACATGTTTTCTTAAACTATAAACATAATCGTACCACCCTTTTTCCTTGCTAGCAACAAATGCTATTGAATCCAGCTGCTTTTACATAACTAACACCATATCTCATTCTAGTGACGCAATTCATTCCCTTCGAATAATAAAATATTCTTTTGGTTTAGTCTGTAAGATGCAATGGTAGGACTACTAAATTTGTTATGAGAACATAACTTGGGAACTCTTCTAAGAAATCATAAATACCTGCTCCATTCTAAAATATGTATTCATAAGGGACTATGCCCTTTTTAGATTAGAAGTATAATTTAGGGCAAAAGCCATACACATAATGGAGTGTCTCAATATCTTATATATTTTATAAAATTTAGTTGTTTTTGGTGTTTTTTTTTTTTTTTTTTGATAAGTAAAAATAATATTAGAAAAGGCGTTCAAAAGGGGAACGCGTCCCAATTACAAAAGTGGAAGCAGGACTAAGGCCCCAAAGAATCCATTGTTTTTGGTGTTTTTATTGTTCTTGTTCATTCTTTCTTTGTGCCTAACTTCCTTGGAAAAATGAAGTGGCAACCACATAGTCCCTTCTACCCCCTTTTTCGAAATGTGGCATGTTTCAACTACCTTACAAGACAACCAGACTAATAAAAAGTAAATAAAGCTAATTATTCCATTTAATTTAAATGATAACAGAAAAAACGCAAATCTATGGAAAATCCATTAAGAATGAAATTTAATTCAGACCAATTTCAGAACAGTGTGTTCACTCCGTCTTTACAAAAATGCCAAACTAATTATCAGCCAAAGATATCTGTCCATATCAAGATTATAATATGTTTGCATAAGTTCCCTCATTGAACAATATTTCAACAGAAAGAGAACTGAAATCTAAAAAGACACATCTTTAGACCATCAATCTAATATCTCTCTAAAATCTTCTTCAAAAGGTTCAGATGATCCCTTGGAAGAGGAAGTATGATCTATTTCAACCTGTGCCTGAATTGACCGGAGTCAGTTACTTTTTCCTCGTCAAATAGCCACCCAAGGAAGAATGTCATCTTATTGCTACATTTAATCAATTAAATATATTAGTTCTATTAAAATTCTACTTCAGCTAATATATCTGAAACAGGCACCTTAAAAATGTCTGAAAGCCATTGGCAAGCACCGTCAACACCTCAAGGATATACAGACTCAGCAAAAACAACTGAAACATATTGCCGCTCATTCAAGAGAAAGTCTACTTATATCAAACTTCAATCATTCCCTCGTATGACGCATTCTCTTAACAAAGCCTTCAAAACTACAAACCTGGCAATCTCTCAACTATAACTGCAGCACCATTTAGAATTGAGAGTGACAAAAAAAAAAAAAAAAGTTGTAAAACATAAAACTAAGAAAATTGACACCTCTAGCCACAGATTCATACATGAGCGATATTAGAGAAGAATCATAAAAAAAAGAAGAAGATAAAACCATCTAATTCAGAAAGCATACTGTCTTACACATTAAACCGATTCTTTTCAGAAACTTTCTTAAGCTCCCAAGATTTTATTTGACCATTAAAGACATTACCTATCATCTTCTTTGCTAAGAGACCCCACTGAAATTCCTACTCACAATCTTCAGCATGACACCTTCCTTCCACCTTTAAATTTCCAGTAGCTAAAAATTTAACACCCTTTCCTAATATGTCCTTGATGGGAAATCCAACAACCAAATTCTCAAAAAGGCAAAAGTCTAACACTCTGAACTCAAGACTCAGACACGGTAATAATTGATACAGATACAGGAGAATCTGAACTCACCTAAAAAGGGCCAAAATCCAAAAAGATGACAGCAGCTGAATTCAAAGCTCATTAGTTAATACCAAGCAGTTTTATTTACATAATGACTCAAAGCACCGAATAATCTTCAATTATATACACAATACAGCTCCAAAAATTCCCATGTTTGATTTCTCTCCAAAGAGAAGCAAAATGGTGAAGGGAAAAACTTTGGGAACCGAGCAGAGATGAAATAATTACCGTATATTGCCAAAGCCTCCAAATATAACATTTTCAACGATACCAAATCCAACTCCTTCAAACCACAATAAGGACAAACAATCTACTTTCTCCTATTGTGGGTGGGTCTTGGTGCAACTGTAAGGTTGCTCCATTGTAACCAAGCCACGGGTTCGAAACAGTTGGAGGTAAGGCTGCATACATTTGGCCCTCCCTAGAGACTAGCCTTTCTCAATCTACCTTCTCATATTATAATCGACCCTTGTTCTTGTTAAATCTTGGGGAATGCACTGGACTAGCCTTTTTCAATCTACCTTCTCATATTGTGATCGACCCTTGTTCTTGTTAAAAATTGGGGGAAATCAACACAATCATTGAAAAAAGTGGACAATAAGATATTGCCGACTGCCACAAGAAGGAAATTGCAGTAAATATTATTGCAAGTGAAAGATTTGGCAGGAAATTGACTATTCCTTCACTAAGACTATACATTTTATAATTAAGGAGCCCATGCATTATTTAGGCGATCATGGCCTATATAGATAATCCTATAGAAAGAAAAATCTTGCTAATGGAATTGTATTAAGTATCTGTTAATAACCCCAAGGGGTTGGCTCAAGTGGGTAAGTCACTCAGCCCTAGTGCATCACGAAACATCAGGTTCAACTCCTCTTGGGTGCAAACAATTCTTTGGAGTCTAGGAAGCACGGACACTCCAAAATGGGCGAAGAATCTGTGTCCGACACATGTCGGACACGGACACGCGTTGGACACGTCCCGACACGTGTCGGACACGCCAAAAAACGTGTCTGAAATTTTTTTTTTTTTTTTTTTTCTTTTTTAATTTTCGGACACGGCTCGGACACATCACGGACACTCCGCGGACACTTCTGGAATTTTTTTTTTTTTTTTTTTTTGAATGCTGATATGTTTTTTTTTTTTTTGTTTTGTACTACCCTTTTGGTATTGTAAATGGTAAAAGTCCTAGGTCAAATGATGGATGGGAATAGATGATAGTACAATGACTTGTTTTTGTATCTTTTTTGGGGACTAGCCTTTAGGTTTTTGATATTGAAAAGGCATACGATCATGTGAGCTGTAATTTCCTTCTCTACCTATTAGAGAGGATGGGTTTTGGTGGGCAGTGGAGGAGATGGATTCTTTTTTGCATCTCTAGTGCTCGTTTCTCTGTCCTTGTGAATGGAGTGCCGACAGGTTTCTTCTCTAGCTCGAGGGGCTTGAGACAAGGGGATCCGCTTTCCCCTTTCCTGTTCCTTTTTGTGATGGAGGCTCTTAGCAGATTGCTGAAGAGGGCTGTGGAGTTGGGTTCTTTGAGAGGCTTTCGGGTGGGCAGGGATGCTGCTAGTCAATTGGAGGTTTCTCATTTGATGTTTGTAGATGACACTATTGTGTTTTGTGATGCGGAAGCGTCCCAACTGAGGTTTTTGAGATGCGTTCTAATTTGGTTTCAAGTTGTGTCTGGCTTTAAGGTTAATGTTGGTAAGAGTCTTCTTGTGCCTGTTGGGGATGTTCCAGAAATTGAGTTGTTTGCTTAGATCCTTGGATGTTGCACTAGCTCTTTTCCCATTTCTTATTTAGGATTGCCTTTGGGTGCCCCTTCGAGATGCGTGGGGAGCTGGGATCCGGTTGTGGACAGAGTCGAGAGGAGGTTGGCGGGTTGGAAAAAGCAGTACCTGTCCAAGGGGGGTCGGGTTACCCTGATTAAGAGCACCCTTTCTAGCCTTCCTACATACTTCTTATCTCTGATTCAGATTCCTTCTTCAGTGGCTGAGAGAATTGAATGATTGCAGTGCAATTTTCTTTGGGGAGAGAAAGGAGAAGAGTTCAAGTTTCACTTGGTTCGGTGGGATCAAGTGTGCCGTCCAATTCGGTTTGGAGGCTTGGGGTTTCGGAGGTTGTTGCCTTTTAATAAGGCTCTCCTTGGTAAATGGCTATGGAGGTTTGGGATCGAGAGGCATTGATTATGGAGGAAAGTTATTCCTAGCAAATATGGGGAAAGTCGTGGTGGGTGGTGCTCTCTGGCGATGCGTGGTCCAAGGAGGGTGGGAGTTTGGCATTCCATTCAAAGAGGTTGGGATGACTTCTGCAAACATGTTCGTTTTCGTATTAAAGATGGAAGGTGGATAAGTTTTTGGAAGGATCTCTGGTGTGGGGAGCTCCCTCTTGCTCTAGCGTTCCCACGACTCTATAGGATTGCTTCTCATCGACAGGCCATGGTTGTTGACTGTTATCATCTTGATAACGGGAGACTATCTTAGGATGTTCAGTTCAGGAGTCATTTTCAGGATTGGGAGATCGAGGATATTTCTCGTTTTCTGGAGCTGTTGTATAGCCAAGTGATTTCTTTTGGGGAATCGGATTGGTGGTTCTGGATTCCTAACTCGCATGGCCGTTTTGAGGTTAGGTCCTTTTTTAGATGTATTTCGGTTGGTTATGGAGATCCATTCCCTTGGAAGTCTATTTGGCGGTCCAAGGCTCCCCGCAAGGTCGCCTTTTTTGCTTGGACTTCTGTTCTGGGTAAGATTTTAACCCAGGATAATCTGAGGAGGAGGAATCAGGTGGTGGTCAATCACTGTTACATGTGTTTATGTAATGAGGAATCTGTTGACCACCTCTTTTTACATTGCAGCATGGCCAGAGATTGTTGAGATTTGATGCTTCGATTATTTGGGATCCATTAGGCCATGCCTTTTTCCTCTAGAGGGTTAATTAAGGCTTGGAGAGGCGTCTCTGTTGGGGCTGACATTAGGGACGCTTGGAGGACTACGCCGCTTTGTATCTGGTGGTGTATTTGGCTTGAGAGAAATAGGAGATATTTTGACGGAAAAAAGAAGCCTGTTTCTATGCTTAAGTTCTCTGATATTTCTATTCTTTTTTGTTGGGTTTCAGGGAGAGATTATAGATCTATGGAGGAAATTATTGTTTTCTTGGCCTCCCTGAAGGTCTAAGGCGTCTTTCGGCCCTTTTGTTTTCCTTTTGTTTCTCTGGGCTTCGCTCCCCTTTTGAGCGTTTTTGATAAAATCTTACTTACCAAAAAAAAAAAAAAAAAAAACAGTCATGAATGTTAATAGTCCTTTCTGTCTATGCTTCTGTATTTGGAGTAAAGTTGCAATGATGATTAAATGATACTAGTTATTATTCTAATGTCTTGTTTTTTATTTGGTTTTATAACTCTGCAACATTGTTCTTTTATAGTTTATTAGTTATGAGTTATGATTTGTATTTTTTTTTCATTGTGAGGTTGATGAAAAATAGCAACACTCGGTAATTTTTAAAGTACTACATCTATATATATACTATTCGCCGTGTCCCCGCCGTATCCGTGTCCTAATTTTTTTGGATTTGCCGTGTCGGTGTCGTGTCGTATCCGTGTCCCGTATCTGTGTTCGTGCTTCTTAGCTTGGAGTGGGTGGGTGTGTGTGTGTGAGTACCAATTAGGGAAAAAAATAAAAATAATTATCTGTTAATGCTACAAAGAAAAAAAAAAAAAACAAGAAACAAAAAACAAAACAAACAAAAAAAGGACCCAAAGAAAAAGGACCAAGAATTAAGTTTCATCATTTGTAAATTTACCTCTTAATTGATTTTTTCTTAAACTGCCACTAGTTAATCCTCGTTTTGGTTATACTCATTCTCCAAACATGTAGTTAAATGCCCAATACACTATACTATATAACATCGTTGGCCCCATATTTGTCCTTCACCTTGATGATGACTGAACAACTTCCAAAACCAATTAGACTCCTATGGATCAACTACACCTATACCCTAAGTCTGGCAGGACATTTTGACAGAATTTCATTCATATAGTAACATCTACTGTTCACCAAATATTGGATTCATAAATTGCTCCTTAATGTCATAATTTGAGTTTCATTTTTGAAGGATTTAGATTATAAATTAAATATTCTGAATCAACAAGTAAAATATAGAACTAGACATGTAGATACATTTATACAAAGAGGGAAGGAGAGAGTAAGGTAGATGTATTAATAGATCATAGAAACATGAAAATGCATTATCGTGGATTGACTATCTATAAGGAATAGGAGATGTAGGATTACTCTCTTATAGTTGTAGACTTGCATTACAAAGTTTATGAATTGTAGAGGTGCTTAATGAATACTGCTTGATATTAACAACCTATCTACTTGAAAAATGTCAAATCTTTATGTACAAGATATTACCCGATATTTAAATATTAATCCTCTGTTGAAGTGAAAAAACAAATGAAGATTATTCAGAAAACAATGGCAAATTGCAGCAATGGTGAACAATATTGTAGCATATAGTTTATGAATAAACATACGATTTGTTAAGCCCAATTTGCATTAACATTAAACCTTCCAATGTGTAACCAAAAACTATTGACTGACGAGACCACCAAAATCCTACACAATCAACTATTCCTAATACCATGTCTTGTTTTCTTGCAAAACCAAAAATTGCTTTGCCCATTGCTTTCAGAACCAAGATATAAACCCTAAGAATGCTAACCAAACAGTGCCAAAACAACTTCAATGCCCCAATAATACTACACCATTGATAATTGATAACAAATTAAAGCTTGTAGTTTCACATATTACCAAACAAGACTTCAAACCAAAAAAGCAAAAATTTTACAATCATTGCAACAAAACATATACATATAAAGCGAACATGAAACTAACACACCCAAGAACAACTAGGTTTTACTAAGGAGATTCAGAAAAGAAGATGAGTTAGGCGCAGAAATGAAAGAAATCACCGGATTTGAAGAGAGGACAGTGGAGGAGAACAGGCCGCGAGAGGGAAGATCGGCGAGGAACTTGGAGGCTCCGCCGGTCTGTTGGTTTGAAATCGACGGCGGAGCAGAAGAGCCTTCCATGGCGCCCAAAGCACAAACCCTCGACAATTTTGACACCAGAGAGAGAGTCAAAAGAAATTCGTCTTTGTGACTATACGAGAGTATACGTATAGATTTTCTTTACACAGGTCGCTATATATATGGAATTATAGGATTAGACCATCATTAATTATGTTGTTGGCAAATACTAGTAATTTATTGTAGACAAGGTTTTCTTATTTTTGGTACTTTTCTTTTCTGAGTATGCCAGTGCATTTACTTTTTATCTACTATTTTTGTAAGAATTTTGCTATTTGAACCCAATTGGCCTAAAACTATATATATCTTTTTTAATTAAAATTTTTATAAGTAGACATAATTCTGGCTATAATTTCTTTAATTTAAATTGCTTTAGTATGATAATATACGGAGTAATTGAAATGAAAGCATTTATCAAGAATGGAAGTGCGAGCAATTTTCAACTAGAATATCAATACTCCTTTCATTTCAAAAAAAAAAAAAAAAAAATGTTCATCTTCCTATTTTTGGCCATCCCAACATAATTGTCTCAATTCAAAATTTAATATACTATTTTTTAATATTTCTAATTTATCTTCCTTATCTTGAAGTTATAAAAGCACGTAAACCCACTACAAAAGGGTATACTTGAAAATTCATTCCCTATCACTATAATAAATAAATTTTTATAAAAAAAAAAAATAAAAAATTACACTCTTAACAAGTTAGATTTAAAAAAAAAAAAATTAATTAAAATTAATTTGTGGGACAGATGAAGCAATTTTTTTTTTTTTTTTTTTTTTTTTTTAAGATTGTCCCTTCTCAAATCACTTTCTACCAAAGGGTCAGTAGTCTAATGGTATCAAGTCTCTTACTTTCTAAAGGAAAGTTAGGAGTTAAAGTCTCAAAAAAGACGTGTGTGTGGTGAGTAACAACTAAGAAAAAATAAAATAAAAAAATCACTTTCACTCATGTTAATTTTTAATTAATGAATTTTTTTTTTCAATCTTTTAACTTTTTATTTGGAATCATAAATTTTTTCCTTCTTAATTTTCTGAAAAGGCTAAAAGTTGATCTAAATATAACCTAGAACATACTGGGTAGGAGTCTAGTTGGAGAAATCACATGGACTTGATTAGAAAAGGTTTCAATGTTTCATGTATTGGGGTTAGTCTCTGGACTAGCCTCTCAATTAAACCAACATGCTCCGGCCTGAATGCCTCGAGTATGTTGCTATTCTCATTGTATATATACATGTATCTATTCTCATTATATATATATTCTATAAATTTAATTATTACCCTTTTTTTCTATTGAAAATTTTCCTTAGCATCATGCCTCGAGTATGTTGCTATTTATAGTGAGCATGCAGTCAGCAAGACAGCATAGGTAAGAACAGCTTAGGGGCTTATGAAGGACAAATTGGGAATGAAAAATCAAAGAGAAAATAGAACATTTCCTGTGGGGCTAATCATGGAGGAGTGACAGTGATGGAGCAGCTCGAGAGATTGGCCAACAAAAGGACAAATTCAGTGCACGAGAATCTCGTCATTGCAGGGTCCAGAGAGGGTCAGATGCACGCAGTCTTATGTTCGTATGCGAAAAAGACTATTTCCTTATTTTGAACCCGCGACCTTCACCAGGTCATAACAGGACAACCATGTCGTTGCGCCACGGCTAAAGAACATGTGTTGAGCCAAACTTGTATAGTCACTTTCTTCAACAAGACTCGGGTGATTGACTTTGGAATGAACTCTTTTAACTTTTTGTTGACGGAGTGACCGTGGAAATGGAGAAGAGAGGGAGCCTTCATTGTTAGCTATCAAGAGGGGGCTACATTTTCTCTCATTACAAGTTGTTCAGTGTCCTACATTTATAGGAGATTCAAAAGGAGTGTCATGTACCTTGATTGGTTGTATTCAATAAATGATTTCTCTTTGCCTGGAAAAAACATTACAAATCATGTCAAACCAACAATTAGTTTATCAAATAGCTCCTCAAATGTGATAGAAACATTGCCACCATCTTCATTCAACTCTGTATGTGATTCATGACAAAAGGTAATGAACCATAGCAATTGTTACAGATAAAAAATCTATGACACATTACGAAATTATTACAGTACATTGAAACCTCTCCAGACAAATTTCAACGATGAGCTGAATTCCAACTGGTGCTTGATGATGACAAGCTTATCTGCTAAAGAGTCACGCCTCCTTCGTACTCTTTTCTTCTTATGGAATGCTAAAGAGAGCTGAATTCCAGGTGTTCCCTCAAATAGATCCAACAAATAGTCCTCCAAGTCCTCTGGTGTGTACTTTATGTATTTTCCAGCATGTTTTTCACTCTCTAGCTGACTCCCAAGCCTTCCAATGAACATGCAATGTGCTGGAATCACTTTCTCTGATACGGATATTCAAACCTCTTCGCGAAGTTGAGAATCCGGGGCCTTCCAATGAACATGCAATGTGCTGGAATCACTTTCTCTGATACGGATATTCAAACCTCTTCGCGAAGTTGAGCATCCGGGGCCTTCCAATCTGTCTGGATCCTACAAATTTCTACGCAATAAAATTCTTAAGCCTTTCCTTCAGGGCTGCCTTGGAATCATTACTTGTGCTTCCTACCAATTCCTTCATCCTTCAAACAATCCAAAACCAAGTTCCGTGAAGCTCTTGGGTAGCTCGTGGCATATTGGTGAATCTGACCAAGGCGCTTGTGAACCCATTTATCTCCTAAAAGCTTTCAAAGCTCAGAGTCCCTCACTTCCTGGAATATGTTTAGTATATTTTGTTCATCAGGAATATATATTGACTTGCATTATCTTCATACAATCTTGATTTCTCATTCAGGTTTAACTCCAGAGAGGTAACTAAAGGCATCAATCTTTATGATATTGGAGGCTTGTCTTCTAACTGCAAATTATCACCATTATCACTTAAAAGTTCATTCAGAGACTCGCGGTAATGCACCAACAATTTCACACAGTTCATTGCATATTGAGTCAATGGGTGAATCTCCCCACCTTGAATAGGTTTCCAAGATGTCTCACTCCTTGCAGCATTTTGAAATTTCACCAATGTGGCAATTGCTCCATTGTGACCCGGAAACAGTCTCTCCATGTGTAAAGTTGCATACATCTAACCCTCTCCAAATCTCACGATGGCAGGAGCCTTGTGCACTGGACTAGCCCATTTACCAATGTGGCAATTGCTATCTCACCCAGTTCGGCCAGTACTCCTCGTGCTTCACTGCACACTAACTCCTCCCCCAATTCATCAGCAAACAATGCCTGCAAATCGGGCAAAAAATCAACCAGCACTTCATACACGTCGAGTATGCGAAAGAGCTTCCTTGGGGAGGACTTCCAGCTCCCAAATGCAATTGCATTGCCAAAACTCATAAGATAAATCACACATCCCATTACAGTCTCAACAAAGAACTCTTTAATCAGTCCTAAACTACTAAGAATTTGTTCAAAAATCCCCTTTTCACAGGACAATTGAACTCTAACCACAATCTTAACAGCTTGAGTCCATTTCTTCATCTCATCTCATCCAACAAACTCCACTCAATCTTTTCAACTTCTTTCACACATAGGCTCAGGGTGTTTATATATGTGTGTCTGTATTTTGTATGTGTGTGTATATGCTTGTTGGTTGTTCCTATTCAGTGTTTTTTTGTATAATTATATATAGCATTTCTGAGTTTCTCCATGATAGCATTCAGCAACTGTCGCTTTCATTTCTCAATTCCCATCTACAATAGTCCTCTCCCTCACACACACAAGTGCTTTAACTCTGTATTTAATTAGTTTATTTTTCTGTCAAAGCAAACAGATCTTATTAATTCACACTTGAAATAAATTACAATGCTTCCCAGGAACAGAAATGAGGATAAAATTCTCGCAAGGCAGAGCTAATCTAGCCATTTTATTGTGTATAAAGGATTATTAATGGGTTGAACTAGGAATTTTAATTTGGGGTCCTATTTAGTACTAATCGTGTGAAAATAAAATTATATGTATATAAATATAAACTGTAATTTTTATATTATAAAAGTTTTGGTATGGTTTCCTACTATTCAAAGAAAGATTCAAGACATTCTTCTATAATTAGAAGTATTTTATAATCCCTTGAGCATATAAAAGAAGGCAAGAATGGTAACATTGACATTATTTTTCACATGTAATAGCAATGTGATTAATATGGTTTCTACTGCAGTATTTCACATTAACTCACATAATTCAAGAATCCACCCTGGAATGAAAGAAGAGGACAAAAGGCAGAAAAAAATTCTGAGTTAATGTGAAAGAATTATGGCTTCTATTGAATGCTTAATAAAACTACAAATATATAGTTGGAGTTAATATTTCTGATATTGAAAAAAAAAAAAAAAGTGTAACATACAATTTCATGTATTGCAGATTTACTGTGTCACTGAAAATATTATTAGCTTCACCAATAATCCCCACAAGAACAACTCCCGTCTTTGAAACGGTGGAATCTGCTAGCATCCCTGACTACAATAACCCGTCCAGTAACCATGGCTATTAACTTAACTGCATTATGGCAGTCACCGCAAATCCGATGGCTCTGCACAAGCTGCAATGGTGTTGAAGAGGAAGTGTTAATCAGCCCAAAAGCAATTGCCAGCTTTTCACTGTGGTACGATGACAGCCGCTCTTCCTTTTCATCCACATCAGGAAGCAAAGTTTTCCCCTCAGGAGCATAACCATGTTTTGTAATCTCCAACATCAACTTGTCTAATTTTTCATAGATTTCTTTTGTTTGGACATGACTCTTGTCTCCAGAAAAGAATGTGTGCGGCTGTTTCTTGATTTCTATCCAAGTGCATGCAGGCTGCATTCTCAAACCCCTTTTTTTCAAGGCGTGGACAACGGCTGCAGCTTCCTCCAACTTTCCAGAACTGTTATATATATTCAAAAGCATGACATAATTACTAAGCTTTTCTGGCTCCATTCCATAAATTTTCTCAGCTGCGAACTTTCCAAGTACCAAATTCTTGTGTACTCTACAAGCTGTCAGCAAGGCAGCCCACATATTCAATGTAGGCCGAAAGGGAGCATCTCTTACCAAAGCAAAAGCTTCATCTAGAAGTCCTTCTCGGCCTAATAATTCAATCATGCATGCATAGTGCATTGCTCGGGGCTTAACCTTGTGATCCCTGCTCATCGATTCAAAAATGTCCCATCCAAGATCTGATAAACCTGAGTAGCTACAAGCAGATAAAACAGCAAGAAAAGTGACATGATTTGGTGCCATTCCTTCGCGAAGCATCCACTTATATAACTCAACTGCCTCAATTCCCCGACCATGATTACCATATCCAGCAATTAATGCATTCCAAGATATGACATTCTTGTGGGGCATCTTTTCAAAAATATTCCGGGCGTCTTCTATTCTTCCCCATTTGCTATAAAAATCCACAAGAGCTGAATTAGCTACTATATCTAACCCAAAACCATGGCGAACAAGACCTGCATGAGCTTGTTTGGCATGTTCCAACGAAGCTAACCTTGCACATACTCTTATAATCATCGAAAATGTAAAATGGTCCATTTTCACACCAGAATCCTGCATCTCATAATACATACTCAAAGCTTCCTCACTATAGCCATTAAGTGCATAACCTGCAATAATTGAATTCCATCCTACTGTAGTTTTCTCCGGCATCACATCAAAAGCACACTGAGCATCCTCAATGCTGCCACACTTACTATACATGTCAATCAACGCACAAGAAACAAAAATATCTGCACCTACACCCATCTTCACAGCACATGAATGTAACTGTCTTCCGGGGAAAAGAAGTTCCAACCCAGCAGATGCCCGAATCATCATAGCATACGTGCGAGACCCAGCATCCGAAAACTCCTCCCACATTATCAGGAACAACCGGAATGCCTCTATGTAATCTCCGGTGTCCACTAGTCCCCCAATTATCGTGTTCCACGAAACCAAGTTTCTCTGAGGCATTTCATCAAATAATGCACGGGCATCAATCATCATCCCACATTTCACATGCATCAACAGCACCCTGTTCCTCATATACTGATCAATCTCAAACCCACTATCAATCATATAATTAAACACCCTTTTAACCCCTCTCATCGATTTCAAGCCAATGCACGCATTCACTAATGCATCGTAAGTGCTGCAACCCAATTCATAATCACCCTCACATTCCAAAATTTCGAACAATTCAAGTGCCTCTCCGTACCTCCTATATAGAACTAACTTTTCTATCTGACCACAAATTCCTGAACTTGAACTTCTGATCTGGGTTTCTTCCGGATGAATTTTTTTATCTACATCAAGGTCAGGTTTTTTCAAAGGCTTTTGAATGGGTCGTGGACGCAACTCTTGTTCTACAAAACAACACCTGATTCGAGAAAATGGGGCTCTCCATTTTCTTGAGAACAACGATTTTTCTCGGAAAATCTTAGGCTTTGTTAAATATGGAATTCTACAACTAATTTGAATATGATCCAATGATATGTTTTGGTAACGAGATAGTGGGATGTCCATGTTCAGTACTTTGTGAAGAATAACAAGGAACACAACAATAGAAGTGAATATAGACAAAGAAGCAGCGAAAATTTACCTCTGAAACGTCTGGATTCGAAAGAATTTGTGTGTAGTTGCTGATGATCGAAGATTTGCAGAGAGGATTGATGTGAGGATTTGGAGTTATCGTCATGTCCTTAGAGAGAGAGAGTGCGAGTTTTGAAAGAGGGAGTCAGCATTGAAAGATCCGCCGATGAATCTTTCGGTGGCGAAATGTGTGGGGTTCGGGCAGTTGGGTCTGTTTAATGAACACGGCGACTTTTACGAGGCTGGTTGTGACGGTGGTAGGTGAGTACAATTGATGGAAACTCTGGGAAGTTTGTGTAATTAGCAGAAAATCTCATTGTTACAATCACCGACGTCGTATTTGTCAGAGACAACGGCTAAGAACCGTGTCTAGCGGAGTTTGTATTAAGGCTTGCTTACGTGGTTGCGGCGTGGTGTAAAACTAGGGACATAGTGTCGCTATTTTTTTTTGTTTTTATTTTCTTTTGTTTTTGAGCAAATTGCATTGATATCCCCTAAAATTTAGGTTAATGCCAGTCAAATATGGTCAACGACTTATTTAACAATGATACTTCTCTAATTTCAAATGTCATATTTGTCCTTTTTATTTAATTCAATTCATTTATAAAATATTAGCCTTACTAATTGACGGAACTACCCTCATCAATAATTATCTTTCTTTACCCTAATCTCTAATTTTATTTTTTATTTTTTATTTATTTTTATTTTTTTTAATACCTAACCAACCACTCCCTCTCTCTCTTCCCGCTATTGGACATAGCTGGTATAAGTACCTAACGAACCACTCCCTCTTTTTTAACAATTAATGACACTCCCTCCAGTTATTTTTTTTTTTTTTATATATATATTTTTTTGTATAAGTATTGTTATATATAAACTATATATGTAGAAGAGATGAAGAGGTTAGTTTGATCAATTAAATTTAGTTAAGTGGTAAAATTTGTAATTTCATAATTTAAATGGAGTTGGTGACAAGTCAAAAAGTAATTTCATATGGTTTCAGAAGTATGGAGGATGTCAATGCACATTATTGAAATCTCAAGGGTGTTAATGTAAAAAAATCATTGATTGTCCGTTGAGAAGTGTTGACCAAAACATCAAAGATGTCACTGTAATTTAACACACACACACCCCCGGGACGCAGGCGGAATTTACATATATTGATATGCGCAATTTATTATAATATAATCTCAACAAGTATTAAATTTAATATACAAATATATTAATTTGTGGTTTAATTACAAAAAAAAAAAAAAAAAAAAATGAAATACTATGTAATAATTTTAGAGGGTATAACAAAATTTGAAAAAATTTAAGGGAGCCAGCACCTCCCGGGGGCCATGACCTCCTTAGCCTCCCACTCCCTACAAGTAAACCAGCAATTAATCCCTAAACTATGTTGTTTTACACGAAACCCTTGAAACCATGGTTTTTTATTTTAAAGAGGTGAAGGGTCAGTTTAAAAGTACCAGTATTAAATAACAAGTACAGTAATTTTTTTATACTTTACTCAAAACTGTTTTTTGTTTTTAAAACTTTTAAAATATATTTTCAAATAACTGAATCCTGAAGTTAAAACTTCATTTTCCCTCGTTGAGAATATTTTCAGTACCGTCATGAATGATATATAGTTTCCTACAACCATGTGGTAATTCTAATAGAGGGGTACGTTAAAAATAGTAAACTTGTATTAAAAACTAGACGTTTCATAGTTAGTGTAACTCACTCTCATTAATGAAAATTGAAGATGGCAAACATATACTCCATATATTTTATTCGGCAAGTAAATCACTCACACACTAATTATGCTTTAAAAAAGAAAAAAGAAAAAAGAGAAAAGAAAAGGAAATTACATAAAACGCAATGAGAAAATGATATCAGTAAAGGAAGGAAAACAGAATAAGAAGGATGAGAATGGATAGGTATGGCATTCTAATTAGTCTATTAAGAAATGACAACAACCTCAGCCACCAAGAGTTCGTTATAAATGCGATGATGATGTGAAACAAATTGAAACCATATAAAATCAGACGCAGCGAGAGATAGAATTTGTCTTCGGGTATTGGTGAGATAAGGATGAGACAACAAAAATAGGTGGCAGTGAAAAAGATTTGGAATACATCCAACAGTTTATGAGGGAGGCCAATTGTGTGGAGGCGGATTATACTCATGGAAGCATAAAATGTCACGCTGTTGAGAAAATAGAAACAAAAGAATTGGAATGGCTTCATTGTTGGCTTCCCTGCCGTATGTGTTCTTACTCCATATGGCAATGTGGTGTTGGGGACGGGAATGGGCGGGATATAGTAGTCATCTTGCCATAATCCACCGGGAGGGCTGAGCACGGCCTGGAATGTGGCGGTGGCAATCAGTACAGCCACTGTTAGTACCGACTGAGTCATGTCTATTTTATCAGCCGGCGACTTCTTTTGCGCGCCAAGTCCGAAGTACTTCTGTACTGTTTCTTCCGGCGACATCTTTTTGCTGGCCTCATCATCATGTATTTCTTGGAGTGGATCATGGTTGACGGATATTCCTCTCATTGCTTTAGCTTGGCATAGCATGTCCCCAATCTCTCTGTTGTCCAATTCCTTTGGAAGTTGAAAGATGTCCAGACTTGTTAACCCCATGTCGTTCTTGGCATTTACCTTAATCTTTCTAATCAACTTTTTGCTTAACAACAATTTTACAGCCTGCAAATTCCCCAAAAATAAATAAATAAATAAATTACACCTAGACAAGGCGCGCATGTGCTAATCATGATCCTTGATAGAATAATAATATGGAGTTCGACAGTCGGACACATCTGACTAATGTCATGACATGGTGATGTGATGTAAGGCGCGCATGTGCTAATCATGAAATAATGATATGGAGTCCGATAGTCGGACATATCTGACTAATGTCATGACATGGTGATGTGATCGATCCAGGCTTTCGAACTATTTATCATTATTCTCCTTAATATAAGTTTAAAATGAATTTGAAGAGCATCATGCATGGAGAAGATGATATTGGTTATTAATTAATCATTATCTGTATAGAAATGAAAATAGAATTGCAATAGGGAATTGTATTTATATATGTTGGATGAGAGACTTGCCTGGGTTTGATTTTTTGATGTTGCCATATGCAAGACGGTGTTGCCATCCTCGTCGGCCCAGTTCAAGATGTCCTCCTTCTCGACCCTTTTTAGCCATCCCACCAACACTTTAAAAATTCTCTGATTGTGGTATTTTAAAGCAATATGCAGTGCAGTTTCTCGTCTAGTTGTCAAATCTTCAATAGAGTCTGGACAAGCCAATAGAAACAATCTCAAGAGATTATCATTTTCCACAGCAACTGCGTAGTGCAAAGGAGTTGTGCCCTCTATTCCTTTGTCCCGGACTAAGTTGCTGTCAACCGAGACGAATAACTTAACAATGCGGTCATGCCCACCTCGCAGAGCAACGTGCATGGGGCTAAGGCCATCTAGGTCAAGCTTCGTAGCATACGAGGGCTTCAACCTCATGACTTCTGTAGCAAAATGATGGTTACCGGTTGATGCAGCCACATGTAAGGGTGTATCAGCTAACAAGATATCATCGATATTGCGCTCCAGAATACCTGTATCCTCCCGAATTAATGTATACAAACGATCGATGTTTCCCTCATGAGCAACCTCCAACAATCTTTCATCCATTCTAAGAGAGCTATACCTTTGGATGTATGTGCAGGGTGCATGCTTAAAATGTATGCCAATTGAGTAGTATACTGTTATGCCAGCACCAAGGGCGGAACGTGAGCATGGAAAGGTCCAAATGGCAATTCATGCTCTTATCAAATGGTTTTGATTCTAGACACAAATTATAAATTTTAGTAAGCCATTGTAAAAGTGTGGAAAGGAAGAGAGAGAAAGAAAGGAGCTTGGACCGGTGTAGGGAATTTACCCGACTACGCGCAACCAGCGGATTTATTTTAAATCCAAAAAGGCAAGTTATTATCTATTTTTCCCCTTTGAATCCATAAATTAATTGTTTAAATTATTTAGATTATGATGGAGCATTGAGAGCATGCTTAGATTTTAATAAATGATTTTTTTAGTTTATTAAATTAATGAATTTTTAATTATTTAGGATGGTAGATAATTAGTTATTATCCTATGAAGTTAAAAATAGCTAAAATATTTCCTTAAGGCGTCAGGGTTTTTTTTAAAAATTTTTAGGAATTTTTCGGGCATTTTCTGCAATTTCCGGCGAGCCTCCGGCGAGGTTTCCGGCCACCGGAAGTGAAGAAGATGACCGGAGTGATCCGGTGTGATGCGGCGCATGGTAGGTTAGTGCGCGCGTGCATCCTGGCCCTTGGTAGAGTCTGATTGATCCGGTGCATCGCGGTCCATGTTACCGCGGTACACCCGGATCTGTGGGCGTTGGATGGAGGGAAGATAGGGAGAGATGATCCGGTGTGACGCGAGTACGGAGTCCGGATGCAGCCAACCAACCAGGAAGTGACACGTCTGCAGGAAGCCATGGTGCGCGCGTGGCTGATGCCAGACGCGCGTGGAGGCGCGTGGGAGAGTGGGGAAGGTTGGGCTGCGCGTGGGGAGGCTCTGGGAGGCGCGTGAGGGCGCGTGTGGGGTCCCTACAGCTGCTGGAAATTACCAGAATACCCCTAGGGCCTGTTTTGTAAATTCCAGAACCTTAAACGTGGATTTTTAGGTACTGTGTTGGTATTTACGGGTTTAACGGGCCACGAAATTATTATTTTAATACCCGTTAATTATTCTTATGGCCAATTAATCTCTTCTAAGCATCTATTGGCTCGTTTACGGTACGGATATTAATGTGATTTATTTAATGACATTGTTAAATATAAATAGTGTTAATATCTTACTAAATGGAATCAAACATTACTGTTAAATTAAATAATGCCATGTTTTAGTCATATAAATTATCCAATATATATTATGGGATATTTATACTGTTAATCATATATAAACCATGATTATTATGTTGTGTGCATTTCAGGAAATAAATGGACTGTTTAAATTATGTCGCATTTATATTATATGGATGTGTTGCCATATAAAACCATGTGAGCTGCCTAATAAGTTTAGACTCATTTATACCTTATGTATTCGTTGCGATAGACAGATGTGTGGCTGTCGGGGTATGTGGTTTAATATTATTGGCATAAGTTACCTAATTAACATACTCAGTATATTTATTAATATTGCTGGCATGTGTTGCCTAACTTATATGCTCAGTATATTCATCAGTACTTTGCGAGGTGTTATCACTGTGTAGTTCGTTATATTCTGTGTTGTCAGTACCGTGCACCATGTATAATAGCTGATTTCCCGGGTGGGGAAAGGCGACACTTAACCACCTAGTGTGAGTCTAAGTGATCACCGTCTATTCTGGTTGAGGTCATGTTATACATGGGATAGTTCCCTTAGGATGTATACAGATATAGTACTCAACCGATTCATAATGATTAATTTATTTGATTCTTTGATTTGGGTCATAGTAGAGAGGACTTGCTCGTGGGGTTGACCCACCATTGTTGTTATTTCAGGATACGGTCAGTACCCGTTCCAAGGTTGAGGTTAGCAGTGTGGGACCACCATCCGAACTCATCTACTCTTACGATCCAGTTCAGGGTAGAAGTTTTATGTATTACTTCAGTTTCAGTTTTTATTTACTTTTGACGTTGAACTCTCAGGGTTATATTTAGGGATCTTTGACATAGGATTTCCAAGATGTAATGAAGTACTGTATTAAATAAATGATGGATGGATGTTGTATTATTTAGTGTTCCTTTCCTGTCTAAATTCTTTTATTATCATCATTTTGTATTCCATGCTTGTATATTGCCAATTGTTTTTGATATTCCTCGTTTTTCGTGTATAAACCTGATCAACTTATGCGTGGAAAATGTGGGGGTGTTACATACTATCTCCAACATTTTGTCAGTTATTGTTGTCATTTTACTGCAAGTTTCTGACTAGCATCAATGGAATTCAACCGGTGCTCTACATATGACCAATCGTATAAACCTATGGTCACTAACACGCATAGCTTCATACAATTGGTCACATGTAAAGCATTTTCAAGTACAGTGCAATATGTGCTTGAACAAAATGATTTTATCGGAATTATATATCAATTAATACTTTGCCTTAATTATAGAAACAAAGAGGGATTAAGAGCGTTTGGCTTTAAATAAATAAAAATAAATAAAGAAGAAGAAAAAAAGGAAGAAGAAGAAGAATTATTGCATAAGCGATATAATATAGTTTTTACCCCTGAAAAAGAAATATATATATATATATATAATCATTGCATAAGCAATGTAAAATTGTTGCATAAGTAATATGAAATTGTTACATAAGCGGTCTAAGTTGTTTCATAAGAGATGTAATGGCACAAGATGGCACATGAAGCTCCTTGGGAGAGTATCCCGTTGGGAACCCGCCCACCCCGCCCCGTTTAGAATGGTTATGGGGGTGGTTAAATGGTTTTGGAGCGGAGATGTGAATTAGGATTGAAAACCCGCATGGTTATGAGGCGGGGATGAGGAAAGGTCACCCCGCCCCGCCCTGTTTATAGTGATGAATTATTATTTTGTATATATACTTTATTTTATATTCAATTGATTCTATTTCAACCACTAAATATTGTTTTGTATTATTCTTATTTTAACTTTTATGTATTATTTTGTTATTCTTACAATAATATTAAGTTTACAATTCCAATTGAGAAGTTAAATTTTATTTTTTTCACTTGAGAAAAAAGAATTATTACCATTACGAAAGTACTCTACAAAATCCGCCCTCGTCCCGCCCCACCTCGTTTAATAAACAGTTTTGGGACAGGGATGGGAATGGGGAAGGCATTCCCCGCCGCAACCCGCCCCATGTCCATCCCTAAATCTAGGTTCATTCTCAAGTCATTTTGACAAAAGAAAAAGAAAGCTTGAGAAATCAAAATTATAAAAACATTTGGACAATATATTACTATGATTTGCAGAGACATTTGCCACTAATCTAATGCAGAACCTACCCATAGCATAATAATGCCATTCTTTAGTGGTTGATCATTAAAAATTCTGTTGCAATTACATTGATTATCACATGATAATTAGGCCTAAAAATTGTGAACAAATTTAGTCACTTTGGTTATTAATTAGAGAACAAAAAATGTCGGTGTGTACATGATAACCAGTCTATATGCACATTAAACCACCAATACTACTTTATTTCATAACTTCACCCTCCTAAACACCAAATATTCAAACTCTATTTCCTTTTTTTCAGTCTAAATTCAAGAGTCCAGGCTCAATTGAATTTGGGGATACCAACATCACATTGTGGTAACAGATGATCCTTTATTTTTAGTTCCATGGAAAACCCCCAAAATTCTTTATTGATTACAAAATTTGATCCTAGTCTCCTTTTTTGGCACTTGGAAATGAAAATTTGGCAGCTAAAATTCAACATTTCCAGCAAGAAGCCGTAACAATCGGCTTTGATTTCCACCCAAAAACCAAGCAACCCTGCTCTTCCACTATGGTATAACCATCACAAATCTTAATCTTCCCCAGCCATTGTTTTGCCTGAGCCACCATCTTAATTGGCGTGGGCTAGAAACCAGCTCGGCTCATTCTTCTTTGCCACTGGTCCACCCTCTCGTGCCTTTCCACCCTTGCCAGCCCCTCACAGCTTACAATGTTCTTAATCTCCTTCGCAAAGTAGAACTGCTCCATCTTCACGTGCCTTGTGTCATGCTTAGGTAACATTGCATTAAGGGAGTTAAATTTTATTGAATAATAACACAGTGCTTCTATTAACCTCCCAAGAAAGAATGGTCCATTGTGGCTCGAGTCTTGCTCAATGAGGACTAAAACCTTGGGAGAGAGCTCATGGATTATCTGCGGAACCGAGTTTAAAGCCCCACGACTTTCCTTCATCACACAATGCAACTGCAAAATGCTATTGATTACAAGCACTTCGCCATCAAGCGTTTTAATTTCTTCAGGTTTTAGGTTTTCCAAATTACTTTCCACTATAGAGAACTCCAAATTTATGCCCAATCCTTCTGCAAAAGCCTCAAGCTCGTCGCCAATGGTTTGGAACACAAATGCCAACCCTAGTGATCCTGAGGTGGCGTGGTGGCTGGCCAGCACAGTTGGCCAGGCTCTGGATTAGTCCACGCCATTGCTGGCAGTGTGGTAAACCAAGAATCATACCCAAGTCCACCACATGGATAAAACTCTCTCCCTCAAAGGCTTCCAATATTGCAGCATTGGCCATAAAGTGTCCAAACTGGATGTGTGGGCAAATTTCGTCACAAAGCATAAAGCCTCTTCCTTCCTCTCCAAGGCAATGTCCATTATGTTCATGGTGGGCGCAACTGTTAGGAAATTAGATGCCATTAATTCCCTAAGGACCCTGCCATCAATCTGCACAAAAACATACACAAAATCACAAGACAAAAATTATACGTGGTTCGGCCAATTTTGCCTACATCCACAGTGCACACCAGAAATTCACTATATCTATTGAGTAATTACAAGATGTGGATCAGCAGATGACACACACACACGCACCGTATATCTCTCTATCAATCCTGAAAAATACACTATGTGTTTCTTGCTCACTCTCTGAAAAATGCTCATACTGTATTTTTCTTCTTCTTTTTTTTTTTTTTTTTTTTTTTTTCTCTTTCTCACTCTGCTCTACTCTTGTTAAGCTATTGAGCTTGTATATATTGTGTTGCTTGTTTTCAGCTTCTCTGTTCCTATTTATAGCTGCAGATAAAAGACAACAAATGGTGGACATTGCATTTGTGAGCCATAGAAAATTAATCCACTAACCAACAGGATGTAATGGTAGCTGAAAGGAATCCAATTGCAATTATAAAGTGATAAACTTTACTTTATCATTTTAGGAAATGGCCAACAGATGGAAGTGGCTTTGGGAAATGTGAGCCATATCACAACAATCTCTCACTTGGCAAACTTTGCACGAGTAACTCAACTTTAGTGATAACGGTGCGCTTCTTTCTGTCTTCAAGCTTGAAGACCGACTGAAGTTGAACACAACTTCAGTTTCTCTGTAGTGACTGTCTTAGTTAACATGTCGGCTGGATTCTTGGTGCCAAGTATCTTCTCAAGTGTCAGCACCCCATCTTCCGACAAAGATCTGATGAAGTGATACCGAAATCCTATATGATTGGTCCTCGAATGAAATGCTGAATTCTTTGCCAGATGTATTGCACTCTGACTATAACTGTGCAAAACATTATTCACCTGTTCCAATCTTAACTGCCAACAATCCCTGTAGTCAGATCATCTCCTTACTGGCTTCTGTCATAGCAACATACACTGCTTCTGTAGTAAATAACGCTATAATCTTCTGTATCTGCGAAACCCAACTAACTGCAATTGTACTTGCCTTGAAAACAAACCCTATTGTACTTCTTCTACGATCTATCTCACCAACAAAGTCTGAATCTATATATCCCTGTAGTTTTACCTCGCCTCTTCTGAAACATAGACATTTGTCTGTGGTACCCCGTAAATATCTTAATATCCACTTCACTGCTTCCCAGTGTAGCTTTCCCCCATTCGTCATGAATCTGCTTACAGCTCCTACTGCATATGCAATATCTGCTCTCATGAAAACTATGGCATACATTAAACTTCCAATGGCTGAGGCATACAAAATCTTAGCCATCAAGTTCATCTCATCATCTGTTTTCGGCCATTGATCTTAGGATAATCGAAAGTGATTAGCTGAGGGTGAACTTACCGCCTTAGCATTACTCATGTTGAACCTCTTCAGAACTCGTTCAACGTACTCAGCCTGAGACAATTCCAAAGTACCTTTCTGCTTGTCTCTATTAATTCTCATCCCAAGAATCTGCTTCGTTGCACCAAGATCTTTCATTTCGAACTCATTCGACAACTACTTCTTCAACTTGCTGATTTCTTCAAAATCAGAACCAGCTACTAACATGTCATCAACATAAAGTAGGAGGATGATGTAACTCGTTTCAAACCTCTTGAAGTAGTAGTAATGGTCAGCGTTACATTTATTGTAGCCATGTCTTCACAATAAACCCATTAAATTTCTGTGCCATTGCCTCGGGGCTTGTTTCAAACCATACAAGTTTTTCTTCAAGTTGCACATAAATTTCTCTTTTCCTTTGACTGAAAAACCCTACGGTTGCTACATGTAAATCTCCTCCTCGAGGTCTCCGCGGAAGAAAGCAATTTTGACATCTAACTGCTCTAGGTGTAAACCTTCTGCTGCAACAATGCTGAGAATTGACCAAATGGTAGTCAGTTTCACTACCGGTGAAAAAATATCGGTGTAGTCAATCCCTTCCTTCTACTAAAATCCTTGGACCACCAATCTTACCTTATATCTCTTGGAACCATCATGTTCCTCTTTGACCCTATACACTCACTTGTTGTGAAGAGCTTTCTTTCCTGTTGATAACTTGGCAAGTTCCCATGTTTTGTTGGAGATAAGGGACTTCATCCCATCTTCCATTACAAGCTCCCACTTGCTAGCATCTTCAATCTGACATGTTTCAGCATAACATTTAGACTCATCACCATCTGTGAGCAACATATAATCCAAATACTTTTTAATTGGGACAGGAATTCGTGGGGACTTTCGTTAGGGTATAGGAGTTGGACTTCGCGATTTACTATGATCGATGAGTTCCTGCTGTGAACTCTCACCTATCTGATCCTCATCATCTTCTGAATCATTATCCAACTCAATATACTCAGGGCTTCTCCGTACAGAAGTAGTGTATGTTGGGACAGTTGGGTCTGTTTAACGAACACGACGACTTTTACGACGCTGGTCGTGACGGTGGGAGGTGAGTGCAATTGATGGAAACTCTGGGAAGTTTGTGTAATTAGCAGAAAATCTCATTGTTACAATCACCAACGTCGTATTTGTTAGAGACAACGGCTAAGGACCGTGTTTAGCCGAGTTTGTAGTATGGCTTGCAAACGTGGTTGCGGCGTAGTGTAAAACTAGGGACGTAGGGTGGTGATTTTTTTTGTCTTTTTTTTTTTTTTTTTCTTTTGTTTTTGGGTAAATTGCATTAACACCTGATGTTTCGGTTAATGTCACTCAAATGACACTCCATCTGGTTTCAAATGTCATATTAGCCCTTTTTATTTAATTGAATTCATTTATAAAATATCAGCCTTGTTAATTAACGAAACTACCCTCATCATTAATCATTTTCCTTTACCCTAATCTCTAACTCTTTTTTTTTTTTTGGTTCATTTTAGTACCTAGCCAATCAGTCCTCCTCTCTTTTCCCGATATGGGACATAGCTGGTATAAGTACCTAACCAACCATTCCCTTTTTTTTTTTAACAATGACACTCCCTCCAATTTTTTATTTATTTATTTATTTATTTTTTTGGTTATGATGGCATATTGTTATATATAAATTAAAAAATGATAAGATCACCGAATGATTTCTCCGAATAAATCCCAAATCATGTGTTTTTGTCCACATTATCTTTTCTAAAAAATAATTGTTTAACACGTGATAAGTATAGCCAACCACGTCAAATTCGATGTTAATTTAGAGATTCCTTTTCGGTTCCCCTATCATTACTCATATAAATTATTTGTGTAGAAGAGGTTAGTTTGGTCCATTAAATTTAGTTAAGAGGTAAAATTTGTAATTTCATGATTTAAATGGAGTTGTTGACAAGTCAGAGAGTTAAAATGTAATTTCATATGATTTCAGAGGCCTGGATGGATGTCAATGCACATTATTAAAACCTTAAGGGGTGTCAATGTAAAAAAAAAAATCATTGACTATCCGCTGAGTGGCGTTGACCAAAACCTCAGGTTACCCCCCCCCCCCCCCCTCTTTTTTTTTTTTGAGTTTACATATATTGTTATGCAATTTATATAATATAATCTGAACAAATATTAAATTTAATATAGAAATATATTAATTTTTGGTTTAATTACAATATATATATATATATATATATATATATATATATATATTCATACTATGTAATAATTTTAGAGGGTATAACAAAATTTGAAAAAAATTAAGGGATCCACCACCTCTGGAGGGCCATGACCTCCTTAGCCTCCCACTCCCGACACCCTGGGAATTACGAGTAAACCAGCAATTAATCCCTAAACTATGTTGTTTTACACGAACCCTTTAAACTATGATTTTTTATTTTAAAGAGGTGAAGGGTCAGTTTAAAAGTACCAGTATTAAATAACAAGTACAGTAATATTTTTTTTAACTAAGAAATAAAAGTACAGTAATTTTTTTTATACTTTACTCAAAACTGTGTTATGTTTTTAAAACTTTTAAAATATGTTTTCAAATAACTGAATCCTAAAGTTAAAACTTCATTTTCCCTCATTGGGAATATTTCCAGTACTGTCGTGAATGATAGTTTCCTACAACCATGTGGCAATTCTAATACGGGGGTTAAAAATAGTAAACTTGTATTAAAAAGTAGACACTTCATAGTTAGTGTAACTCACTCTCATTAATGAAAATTGAAGATGGCAAACGTAATACTCCATATATTTTATTTCGCAAGAAAAACATTCACACACTGATTATGCTTCCAACAGTTGAAAAAAAAAAAAAAAAAAAAAAAAAAAAAAAAAAAAAAAGAAAGGGAAAAAAGAGGAAAGGAAATTACATAAAACACACTGAGAAAATGATATCAGGAAAGGAAGTAAAACAGAATAAGAAAGATGAGAATGGATAGGTATGGCATTCTAATTAGTCTATTAAGAAATGACAACAACCTCAGCCACCAAGAGTTCGTTATAAATGCGATGATGATGTGAAACAAATTGAAACCATATAAAATCAGATGCAGCGAGAGATCGAATTTGTCTTCGGGTATTGGTGAGATAAGGATGAGACAACAAAAACAGGTGGCAGTGAAAAAGATTTGGAATACATCCAACAGTTTATGAGGGAGGCCAATTGTGTGGAGGCGGATTATACTCATGGAAGCATAAAATGTCACGCTGTTGAGAAAATAGAAACAAAAGAATTGGAATGGCTTCATTGTTGGCTTCCCTGCCGTATGTGTTCTTACTCCATATGGCAATGTGGTGTTGGGGACGGGAATGGGCGGGATATAGTAGTCATCTTGCCATAATCCACCGGGAGGGCTGAGCACGGCCTGGAATGTGGCGGTGGCAATCAGTACAGCCACTGTTAGTACCGACTGAGTCATGTCTATTTTATCAGCCGGCGACTTCTTTTGCGCGCCAAGTCCGAAGTACTTCTGTACTGTTTCTTCCGGCGACATCTTTTTGCTGGCCTCATCATCATGTATTTCTTGGAGTGGATCATGGTTGACGGATATTCCTCTCATTGCTTTAGCTTGGCATAGCATGTCCCCAATCTCTCTGTTGTCCAATTCCTTTGGAAGTTGAAAGATGTCCAGACTTGTTAACCCCATGTCGTTCTTGGCATTTACCTTAATCTTTCTAATCAACTTTTTGCTTAACAACAATTTTACAGCCTGCAAATTCCCCAAAAATAAATAAATAAATAAATAAATTACACCTAGACAAGGCGCGCGTGTGCTAATCATGATCCTTGATAGAATAATAATATGGAGTCCGACAGTCGGACACATCTGACTAATGTCATGACATGGTGATGTGATGTAAGGCGCGCATGTGCTAATCATGAAATAATGATATGGAGTCCGACAGTCGGACATATCTGACTAATGTCATGACATGGTGATGTGATCGATCTAGGCTTTCGAACTATTTATCATTATTCTCCTTAATATAAGTTTAAAATGAATTTGAAGAGCATCATGCATGGAGAAGATGATATTGGTTATTAATTAATCATTATCTATATAGAAATGAAAATAGAATTGCAATAGGGAATTGTATTTATATATGTTGGATGAGAGACTTGCCTGGGTTTGATTTTTTGATGTTGCCATATGCAAGACGGTGTTGCCATCCTCGTCGGCCCAGTTCAAGATGTCCTCCTTCTCGACCCTTTTTAGCCATCCCACCAACACTTCAAAAATTCTCTGATTGTGGTATTTTAAAGCAATATGCAGTGCAGTTTCTCGTCTAGTTGTCAAATCTTCAATAGAGTCTGGACAAGCCAATAGAAACAATCTCAAGAGATTATCATTTTCCACAGCAACTGCGTAGTGCAAAGGAGTTGTGCCCTCTATTCCTTTGTCCCGGACTAAGTTGCTGTCAACCGAGACGAACAACTTAACAATGCGGTCATGCCCACCTCGCAGAGCAACGTGCATGGGGCTAAGGCCATCTAGGTCGAGCTTCGTAGCATACGAGGGCTTCAACCTCATGACTTCTGCAGCAAAATGATGGTTACCGGTTGATGCAGCCACATGTAAGGGTGTATCAGCTAACAAGATATCATCGATATTGCGCTCCAGAATACCTGTATCCTCTCGAATTAATGCATACAAACGATCGATGTTTCCCTCATGAGCAACCTCCAACAATCTTTCATCCATTCTAAGAGAGCAAATTGAGTAGTATACTGTTATGCCGGCACCAAGGGCGGAACGTGAGCATGGAAAGGTCCAAATCTGTGAAAATATCGTCACCTTCTTTCTCTTTAAGAGGGTTCCATAGAGAGTTCATTACTTTATACGTGGCTTGAGAAAGAACCAAATGGCAATTCATGCTTTTATCAAATGGTTTTGATTCTAGCATATTGCTGATTCCAAAACCGGCCTGCATCTGATGATTAAACTAATTGAAAAAATATTACAATCTAAATGTCACGTAGCATATTCTATTATTATGCTATCATGGATACATCAAAGGCATAACAGAAATTCTTTTCAAACTCAAAGTACATTGAGGTATTAAATTTCACTTTATTATTATTATTATTGTGCAATTACATATTTAAAGGAACTTTATATATATATATATATAATTATCGGGTGGAGTTGGTGGAATAGGGTTATCGAGGTGTTGGGTCATCTATGTTGTTAGTCACCGATGAAAGTAATGTAGTTAACTTTTGACAGATAACTTGTTGATAGATATAGGTATTTATTGTATTTTACATCCACAATCCCTTAAAAGCTACTGAAAGTGAGTTTTAAAAACAAATATTAGTTGATTATGCTTAATGGGATTTGAAGGAGCCGAATTAATGTCAAACACCCTTTGAAATTTTGCATATATATAATCTAACATTTAACATTTCTTAATTTATCAAAAAAATAAAAAAATAAAAGTTACTTTTTATCAGGTTAAAATTCATTGGTGCAAATCCACAAAGCCCAGGGGAAACAGTTTCAAAATCTCTAGCCAAACAACTTTTCAAAAAAAAATTCACAAATTGCTCCATTTATTTGGACGTAAAATATTTTTTTATTTTTTACTGTTTGGTTATCGTAAAATATTTTCAAAGAAAAAAAACATTAAAATTTAATAAAAATAATTTATTCATAAATTTTCGGCAATTATTTTACATGTCCCATTCAATGGACTTGACCTCAACTTCGACGTGGACTTTTACCAAATACCGACAAAATAAAAAAAAAAAAATATTTAACCTAAAAACAAAAAATATTTAAAAAAATATATTTTACGACGAACCATTAATATAAAAATTTATACTGTACTTATTTACTAACAAGTAACAACTTCATAATTGGGAATTACGGAGTATATTGTTTGATTCTAAATTCAGCATCACCCCATCATCACTGGGCCAACAATGCAAGACCAATAACCACGTAAGGAACGGAAGACCAATAGAGAACAAACTCATTAACTGAAAGGCCCCATTACAAAGGTTTAGCCCATATAAGTATAAGTTTGGCCCAACTCACATAATTTCATTAACAAGTCCGAAGAGGATATTTTATTTATTTATTTTAGTTTAAGGAAAAAGTCCAAAGAGTTAATACTTCATAAACCCATCATTAAAATAACATTTCATCTCAGCCATTAAATTTCAAAGCATCTCAACCGTTCGTCTTTTTTTTTTTTGTTCTTTTCTTTTCTTCTCAATCGTTGGTTTGTTGAAGTTGAGCCATCATTATAACCCTAGAAGAGCAGATCCTCCCAACCCTCAAGGATCTTAAGGCGCAACACTTAGAAGAGTCCTGTAAGTTTTTCTCTGTAAATTTGTTCTGTAAATTTTCTTAAGCCATAATTTTCATGCAATATTATCATGAAAATTTGTTCTGTAAATTTTCTTTTTCGTTCTTGTCAGAGACAAAAGATCGGATTATGACGGTAATTTCTTGAAAACTGCCAGTTTCAGATTTTTTTTTTTTTTTTTAAAAAAAAAAAAATTTAGAATCAGCTTTTGTTTATAATTTACTAGGAGTTTTCTTTGTATTTATTATTATTATTATTTTACTTCTCCAGAGTTTTTGAACCAAACATGTCATAATTATAATACACTTCAGAGGAGGTCAGTATCAGTTAAACCAGTATCAAGTTGCCTAATCATATTACTTCTCATCATTATTACTTTCCATGTTGATACAAACCCAATTTAACATTACTTTCCAAGTTGGTGCAGACCAAATTTAACGCGCGCAATCTATATAAAATTGTTTTTTTTTTTTTTTAATCAAATAAAGCAAGCAAAACTTAGTGTCTTTATGAATGTGCTTGTTCATTTATACACAAAATTGCTTTCTTGTTTGGTTTTTATATCTCTAATCAGTTCAGTTTCTCCTCCTTCTATCTCTTGGATCTGCAGATTTTATTTGTTAAATTATGCAGAGAACTGTAAGTTCAAATTCCATGGAGAAAACCACTAAACCCTCCTCCTCATCAATATGTTGTGCTCAAAACTCAAGGTACCATCTTTTTCCTTGTGTATGTATGGATTTATATGTCTATTATTGTTTTATTTTTAAATAAAGAAATATTTTTACAAAAATCCAGCAGTACTGTGTTGTTTCTGTTATCACGCTTTCTTAATTTTAATTTTAATTTTAATTTTTTTATTTTATGTTCAAGTGGAATATTTTTTTATTTTATGGCTATTATTGTTTTATTTTTAAATAAAGAAATATTTTTACAAAAATCCAGCAGTACTGTGTTGTTTCTGTTATCACGCTTTCTTAATTTTTTTTATTTTTTTATTTTATGTTCAAGTGGAATAGTGATAAGGATGATAAAGGAGTAGGGTTGTGTTTGGAGGATCGCATTGGTGGACTTCCTGATGTTATACTCGTTTCAATCTTGTCACTATTGACAATGAAAGAAGCTGCAAGATCTAGTCTGATTTCAAAGAGATGGAGGTACATGTGGACATACGTTACTCGTATGAACTTTGATGCCTCAAGTATAATCGATGGAATTCTACTCGGAGATAAGGAAGTTGAAGCGGAAAGGCCTTTGTATTTGAGTTGGGTTAATCAAGTCTTGAAATCGCACAATGCTCCAACTATAGATGAATTCAGAGTTCAATTTGATCTTGATGAAACTTGCAGATTTGATATTGACAATTGGATTAACTTTGCGATGGAAAAGAGAGTTAGAAGTCTTAAGTTAGACTTGAAAGAATTGACTGAATATGATAGAGAAGTGGGAGAGAATTACAAATTTTCTCACACAAATCACCTTCATTCATTGTCTATTGGGTTTACTAACTGCAACTCCCTTACCAACCTCGTGTTGTCACATGTCGATGTAAGTGGACGAGTTCTTGAGTACATCTTAACTACCTGTCCATCTTTGGAACAATTGTCTGTGCAAGAATCTGAAAGTCTCGTAAATCTGAAAGTTCCCGATCTATCACTCAAATTGAAGCATTTGGAGATAACTTATATGCTTCAATGTGAAAAATATTGAGATTTTTGCAATGAATCTCATGTCATTTAATTACTTCGGACCAAAAATAAACCTGCCATTTAAGACCGCCCAGGAGCCTATTGAATTGTATGTTGGAGGTGACTATTGCAAACATCTTATTTATAACTTTATAGGGATTTCAAGCCATCTTTCTCGGCTAGAGAGCCTTACGTTGGAGTTCACCTCTATCAGGAGGGTTAGTAAGTTTAACTAATTCATTTTATATCCTCCCTTTAAATTTTTATTTATTTATTTATTTATTCTTTTCTACCAATTATTACTCTGCTGATTTAGTTTTTCTTTGGTTTATTCAGAATCAAATTCAGTTTGTTAAATTTTCTGTATTTCATAAGCTCAAGCAGCTAGAGTTGAGAATTACTGCTGATGATAATGAAAGCCTTATGGTTTTTACCCCCCTGATTGAGGCATGTCCTTTCTTGTATAAATTTGTGTTGGAGGTAATAAGTCTTACTTTACAACCTGGATTTCTAAATTGCGAGGTTTATTGCATTTGTGATTGAATTTTCAAATGGAAATTTTGACTCATTTGGACTTTTAACCTTCAATTTTCCCAAGTAATTACTTCTTTATGGCTATTACATTCAATAATAATAGGAAAAATGTTCTAGCAGTGTTTAGCTTGCTATATTTTGCAACGTATCATTCTCTGTTGTTCCCGCGTTGATTTAACAATTACTGCCAGAGAGTTTCACATGGTCATTTAATATGTTGTTACACATATAATTGATGCTTGTAAAATTTTTCCCAGAGTCTTGTAATGTTATGTCGTGATTCTAATTCGCCCCGAACAATTATGATTTGATGCTTGTTTATTTGGTTTTGTATGCTAATGGTTTACTTGCATGTATAAAGCATGGTATGACTCCATTCCTCCTTGTTACAGTTTATATTGGACAGATGCATACCATTCAGAAAATGGCAAAGTGTTAAAATTTGGCCCCATCAGTGCCTTAAGGTGGTGGAATTCGTTGGATTTGCGGGGCATATAATTGATGTTGAACTTGCAATGTATTTAATCAAGGGTCCTGCCAAGCTTGAGAAGATTACTTTTGATACTCGCAGAGCATCTCTTAAAGGAACTCCATGGGAGTTTGAGGAGACCAAGTATAAAAATGTAGCTAGAAAGCGTGCGGAGAAGTTTCGAACCAAGCTTCCTGCTGGAGCAGTTTTGGTTATCATTTAATTAATCATATGTTTCTATAACCTAATGGCAGTAGATCTCTATCTTTTCCTTTCTATAAGCTATTGGCAGTAGATCCTTCTCTTGTAAATTTATTTGGATTGTTGAATAATTTATTTGATATTTATATACAAGATGGTTGAATCTTGAAAAGAGGCTGATGAGTAGGTATTGCAAGAGGAAGTAGAGAGATTTTATTTATTTATTTATTGTTATTTTATCTTCATCTTATATAGAAAACAGGAATAAGTTTACTCATATCTACATAAACATGTATCACATTAGCAAAGACTTCTGTGAACATTTTTGAAATTTTCGCAAGTTCGAAGTTTACAATCATTAAAAACCATGTACAATTGGCCCTTAAAATTACAAAATACACTTTTTAATATGCTTACACCTAGAAATTTGTTTAATTGCACCAATCCTCGCGTGATCCTATGAATGAAGGTTCAACCACCATGTGACCAACTTAGACTTTGTCTCGAGTGGTGAAAAAAAAATAGTAAAATCTTGCCCTGATAGAATGTGTCGTTGAAAACAACAGTCCAATACAATGATTATTATAAACCAACGGCATGTTTGGTCTTCGAAGGTTTACACAAAAGTTGACAAGTGAAACAAGGTAAAAAACACTGTTATGGTAATCAGCCCAACAAAAACATGCACGGAAACAAAAACAAAAAAGCAAACCAAGCATACCTCAACAGCTACTGGCCCAAGTAACTTTTAACAATTGCAGAACACAACTTTAAACGGTAACCATGTCCCTGCAACATTAATAAATGTAAATATAATATATGTCACAAAAATAAATCAGCTTCTTTTTTTTTTTTTTTTTATAATTTTTTGGAAAGAGTTTTGTTTGTATTTATTTTTTACTTCTCCAGAGTTTTTGTTTATTGATCGTACTAGCTAGATCTGGTGTAATGATCAATAAGCCTAGTCAGATTTATTGGTGTGAAACTAACTAATGGACTTAAATAAAAACATTTTTTCTTCCAAATATTCCTGCAGCAATATACCCTTGATTATTCTATTTTTCTCTAGAAAAGCGGCTTGGAACCGAAAAATAATTGGACCGGACCTATGACATTGAACCACGGTCAATGGCCTCGATGACTTTTCCAAATATCCCTAAACCAGTATCATATATATATAAAGGTTAAACCAGTATTTATTTATTTTTTTTTAAAGGTTATATAACCGTATCACGGATTTTTTATTTTTTATTTTTTATTTTTTATTTTTATGTCGCAACTATCTGTCTTTAGACTTGTAAACATCCTGCTACTCATCCGGATCCCACAATGATAACAGTAGCAAGTTGCCTAATCCCAGTAGGAAACATATTTACAGTATACTACTACTTTCCAAGTTGGTATAAACCCAATTCAACATTACTTTCCAAATTGGTACAAACCAAATTTAATGCCTTCTCTAGCACAATCTCTATAAAATTGTTTTCTTCTCCTCTTTATCGATTGGAGTCTTTAGGAATGTGCTTGTTTGTTTATACACAATAAAAAATTGCTCTCTTTTTTTGTTTTTCTCTCTTTCTAATCCGTTCGTCTTCTTCTCCTCTATCTCTTGGATCTGCAGATTTATTTGTTAAAATTTTGCAGAAAACTGAATCCCATGGAGAAATCCACTGGACCCACCTCAATATGTTGTGCTCAAAACGCAAGGTACCATCTTTTTTTCAACTTATGTATGGATTTCTATGCCTCTTTTATATAAATTTTGTTACAAAGATTCAACGGCGTTTCTGTTATCTCACAGTTTTTTAATTATTATTATTTTTTAATCTTTAATTGGAATAGTGAGAAGGATGATAAAGGAGGAGGGTTGTATTTGAAGGATCGCATTAGTGGACTTCCTGATGGTATACTCATTTCAATATTGTCACTATTGGCAATGAAAGAAGCTGGAAGAAGTAGTCTGCTTTCAAAGAGATGGAGGTACATGTGGACTTATGTTACTGCTTTGAACTTTGATGCCTCACATATAATCGATGCAATTCTACTGGCTGATGACCGTGAAAAGGAAGTTGAAGCACAAAGGCCTTTGTATTTGAGTTGGGTTAATCAAGTCGTGAAATCGCACAACGCTCCAACTATAGATGAATTCAGAGTTCAATTTGATCTTTATGTAACTTCTAGATTTGATATTGACAATTGGCTTAACTTTGCAATTGAAAAGAGAGTTAAAAGTCTTGCCTTGGACTTCAAAGGAAGGACCGGATTTTCTAGAGACGAGGGAGAGAATTACAAATTTCCCGACATAAATCACCTGCGTTCAAAGTCTCTTGGGTTTACTAACTGCATCTCCCTGACCAACCTCATGTTGTCATACGTGGATGTAACTGGGCAAGCTCTCGAGTACCTTTTAATTAACTGCCCATTTTTGGAACAATTGTCTGTGCACGAATCTGATAGTCTTGTAAATTTGAAAGTTCCTGATCTATCGGTCAAATTGAAGCGTCTGGAGATAACTTTATGCTTCAATGTGGAAAGTATTGAGATTTTCACAATGAATCTCGTGTCATTTAAGTACTTTGGACCAAAAATAAACCCACCATTTAAGAATGGCGTGAAGCCTGTTGAATTTTATATAGGGGGTGAGTATTGCAAATATCTAATTTATAACTTTATGGGGATTTCAAGCAGTCTTTCTCGGCTAGAGAGCCTGACATTGGAGTTCACCTGCATTGAGGTTAGTAAGCTTGAGTATCTAATTTATTTTATTTCCTCCCCTTCATTTTTACTTTATTCTTTTCTAACATAATTATCAATCTGTGCTGATTTAGTTTTTCTTTGGTTTATTTAGAATAAAATTCAGTTTGCTAAATTTCCAATATTTAATAAGCTCAAGCAACTGGAGTTGAGAATTATAGCAGATGATGATAAAAGCCTTATGGTTTTTACCCCCCTCATAGAAGCATGTCCTTTCTTGTATAAGTTTGTGTTAGAGGTAATAACTCTTTACTTTACAAGCTGCATTTCTAAACTGCGAGGTTTATTGATTTCGTAAATGGAGTCTTGCAATGTTATGTCGTGATTCTAATTTACCCTGAACAATTATGATTTGATGGTTGGTAATTTGGTTTTGTATGCTAATGGTTTACTTGCATGTATAAAGCACTGGATTAATCCATTCCTCCGTGTTGCAGCTTTCATTGCACAGGTGCATGCCGTTCAGAAAATGGCAAAGTATTAAAGTTTGGCCCCATCAGTACCTTAAGGTGGTGGAATTCATTGGGTTTGCTGGGCATATGATTGATGTTGAACTTGCTATGTATATAATCAAAGGTGCTGTCAAGCTTGAGAAGATTACTTTTGATCCTCGCTATCCACCCTTCATAGGAACCCCATTTGAGTTTGAAGATACTATGGATAAACAAGAAATTAAGGATACAAAAGTAGCTAGAAAGCGCGCCCAGAAATTTCGGAACAAACTTCCTGCTGGAGCGACTTTGGTAATCCTTTAATGGATAATGTGTCTGTATAACCTATTGGTAGTAGTATCCTTCTCCTGTAAATTTATTTGATAATTTGAATAATTTATTTGATATTTATATAGTGGATAGTTGAATAATTTATTTGATCTTTATATAGTGGATGGTTGAACTATGAATAAAGAGAACAAAACATATGCTGTGTCCAACCCGTAATCCTGAGAACAAATTTCCAATGACCGAAAAGCAAAGAATTTATTTGCAACAAGAAACAATATTTAAGAGCCATAAATTGGTTTACATGTTTGAACCCACTCATCACGGTGGGATTTTGAAAAGAGAACTAAGAATCGGTTTTGTCTATGAAACCGAACTGCCAAATAAATTCACAATCTCAATAGTTATACATTCAAATTCTACGAAAAAATTCACAATCTCATTAGTAGTGACACATTCCTTCCGTTGCTTAGTCTATCGCCATTGCCTCATTGGGTGATCTTGAGCTTTTCGAGAACTCTTATATCTGGAAAACAAGTAAAGAATGGACACATTCCTCTTTTGAGTCTCTTTCAAGGTGCTAATAGACTGGCTATCAATATCACTCCGTGAAATGCTAGTGGAAGAACAATCAAGAGTCTGTAGTCAGTGCTTCCTCGTAGGGGGAATGCTTGCAGAAGTACAGCTTATATCTGCATTCATCGATTTCTTGGAAAGGGCTGCGAACCTTGTTCGAGCGTCACAAGTGTAGTCTCTGCATCAAAGGAAAGGCCATTCAATAAATCCCTCAAGTCGGAAGTTAGCACATACATCAAAACCTATTAAAATGTCACAGTAGCAAAAGAAACAAAAAATGCTAAGCTAGGAAACTGATTTCAAGCAAATACTTTCCATGTGTTATTTGGCAGAAATGGAAATAAAGGACATGAGCTCTGCTTACTATCTCCAACATTTTGTCAGTTATTGTTGTCATTTTACTGCAAGTTTCTGACTAGCATCAATGGAATTCAACCGGTGCTCTACATATGACCAATCGTATAAACCTATGGTCACTAACACGCATAGCTTCATACAATTGGTCACATGTAAAGCATTTTCAAGTACAGTGCAATATGTGCTTGAACAAAATGATTTTATCGGAATTATATATCAATTAATACTTTGCCTTAATTATAGAAACAGAGAGGGATTAAGAGCGTTTGGCTTTAAATAAATAAAAATAAATAAAGAAGAAGAAAAAAAGGAAGAAGAAGAAGAATTATTGCATAAGCGATATAATATAGTTTTTACCCCTGAAAAAGAAATATATATATATATATATATATATATATATATATATAATCATTGCATAAGCAATGTAAAATTGTTGCATAAGTAATATGAAATTGTTACATAAGCGGTCTAAGTTGTTTCATAAGAGATGTAATGGCACAAGATGGCACATGAAGCTCCTTGGGAGAGTATCCCGTTGGGAACCCGCCCACCCCGCCCTGTTTAGAATGGTTATGGGGGTGGTTAAATGGTTTTGGAGCGGAGATGTGAATTAGGATTGAAAACCCGCATGGTTATGAGGCGGGGATGAGGAAAGGTCACCCCGCCCCGCCCTGTTTATAGTGATGAATTATTATTTTGTATATATACTTTATTTTATATTCAATTGATTCTATTTCAACCACTAAATATTGTTTTGTATTATTCTTATTTTAATTTTTATGTATTATTTTGTTATTCTTACAATAATATTAAGTCTACAATTCCAATTGAGAAGTTAAATTTTATTTTTTTCACTTGAGAAAAAAGAATTATTACCATTACGAAAGTACTCTACAAAATCCGCCCTCGTCCAGTCCCGCCTCGTTTAATAAACAGTTTTGGGACATGGATGGGAATGGGGAAGGCATTCCCCGTCGCAACCCGCCCCATGTCCATCCCTAAATCTAGGTTCATTCTCAAGTCATTTTGACAAAAGAAAAAGAAAGCTTGAGAAATCAAAATTATAAAAACATTTGGACAATATATTACTATGATTTGCAGAGACGTTTGCCACTAATCTAATGCAGAACCTGCCCATAGCATAATAATGCCATTCTTTAGTGGTTGATCATTAAAAATTCTGTTGCAATTACATTGATTATCACATGATAATTAGGCCTAAAAATTGTGAACAAATTTAGTCACTTTGGTTATTAATTAGAGAACAAAAAATGTCGGTGTGTACATGATAACCAGTCTATATGCACATTAAACCACCAATACTACTTTATTTCATAACTTCACCCTCCTAAACACCAAATATTCAAACTCTATTTCCTTTTTTTCCATCTAAATTCAAGAGTCCAGGCTCAATTGAATTTGGGGATACCAACATCACATTGTGGTAACAGATGATCCTTTATTTTTAGTTCCATGGAAAACCCCCAAAATTCTTTATTGATTACAAAACTTGATCCTAGTCTCCTTTTTTGGCACTTGGAAATGAAAATTTGGCAGCTAAAATTCAACATTTCCAGCAAGAAGCCGTAACAATCAGCTTTGATTTCCACCCAAAAACCAAGCAACCCTGCTCTTCCACTATGGTATAACCATCACAAATCTTAATCTTCCCCAACCATTGTTTTGCCTGAGCCACCATCTTAATTGGCGTGGGCTAGAAACCAGCTCGACTCATTCTTCTTCGCCACTGGTCCACCCTCTCGTGCCTTTCCACCCTTGCCAGCCCCTCACAGCTCACAATGCCCCTCACAGCTTACAATGTTCTTAATCTCCTTCGCAAAGTAGAACTGCTCCATCTTCACGTGCCTTGTGTCATGCTTAGGTAACATTGCATTGAGGGAGTTAAATTTTTTTGAATAATAACACAGTGCTTCTATTAACCTCCCAAGAAAGAATGGTCCATTGTGGCTCGAGTCTTGCTCAACAAGGACTAAAACCTTGGGAGAGAGCTCATGGATTATCTGCGGAACCGAGTTTAAAGCCCCGCGACTTTCCTTCACCACACAATGCAACTGCAAAATGCTATTGATTACAAGCACTTCGCCATCAAGCGTTTTAATTTCTTCAGGTTTTAGGTTTTCCAAATTACTTTCCACTATAGAGAACTCCAAATTTATGCCCAATCCTTCTGCAAAAGCCTCAAGCTCGTCGCCAATGGTTTGGAACACAAATGCCAACCCTAGTGATCCTGAGGTGGCGTGGTGGCTGGCCAGCACGGTTGGCCAGGCTCTGGATTAGTCCACGCCATTGCTGGCGGTGTGGTAAACCAAGAGTCATACCCAAGTTAAAGATGATTTCTTCAACCGTAAGTAATACATATCAATTTGTAATAATTGCTATAACCTCCTTACATCACTTAGTGTGCAGTATGGGCAAATAGACCATTTTAACCTTGGGTGGTTCTAGGTCGGGTTAGGACCCGGTTAGTGTTTCGGACCCCGGGTTTGGGTCGTTACTGAAGGAACCTTAACCATGACTGGTGGGTGAGAATGGCTAGCGAGGAAGCCAAAGGATGACTAGCTGACTCCTTGGTTACAATATCCGAACCCCAGAAGACAAGGTGGGAGGGGAAACACCTCCCGTTACCACTTATAGTGATAGAGATGAGGCTGACTTGTTGCGGAGTGCAGAGTCTGACCCTGACCAATGATCGGAGATCCCATATTCACTACTTCCCCTAGGGACTGCAAAGCACATATGAACCATAGTTGTTAAAATCCCAATTCTGGATCTTAGAATCTTACAATTTTACGATCCCAAATTACCAAAACGATTCCGATCCCATTCAAAATCTTTGGGAAGTAGAATCTCAGTGGAATCGGTAAAATCAGAAGTAGGATCATAGAATCTCATAGAATCTTTACGATCATACCGATTCTACTAAATTGTGTTATTTTGTTCTTCTTCCGGATTTATTGAGCCTACAATTAATTTTGGAGTAATAAATTTAATCATTTGAAATGTAAAGTCCTACTCTTTAGTTGCCTAATTACATTAAAAATTAAAATTTTAAAACAAAAAACGAAAGAAACAAACGTCAAATGTATAGATGATCAACTCTGAATTTCAAAGGTATTGTTTAAAAGTTCAAAATTTTCCTCTATTTTGTTTTATTATTCATAATTTCTATTTTCTTTCTTTTTCAGTAAAAGGAACAAAAAAATTAAATTTTTTCCACCTATTCTTTGTCAATTCTGAAGCAAAAAAAAAGAAATACTTCATTTTTTTCGTTGTTCTTTCTATCTCTATTTTGTTTCTTTTTTTTTAACCAAAAAGTAAACTTTTCAACTAACTTGCTCAGACAATTAGGCAACTAAATTGTACTTTTCTCTCTCCACTAGGCTTTACTTTAATTTCTTCTCGGAGACTTTGCTTGATTGTTATGCTGAATTTTTTTTTTTTTTAAATCAAGAAAATGATTTTAAGTGTTTGTCATGTGTCTTATTAGTATCTTTTAATGCTAATTAATTTTGCTAGTGTCTGAATTGGTTGTTTAGCTTTAATCTCTACTTAAATAAAAAATATTGATTTAGAAAGTTAGTTTGAGTTACTTTTTTAATAATTTTTTAGAATCTTACGATTCTCGATCCGATCCTATGATTCCGATCCTATGGACCCCTCATCGATCCTATATAGAATCCCGATTCTAATAACCTTGGTATGAACTTCAAGAGCAGGGAGCCTATTTGTTGAAGGTTACAACGATGAGGCAGTTGCTCCGAGAAAGTCATAAGGCAGCTAGTTCCTTAGAGCTTGACGGAGACTTGAGGAGTTCGGACAAGAAGGAGAAGGATGCGCTGAGTTTAATATATGGGAAGATGGAAGCCAAGCCTTCGGAGACCATTAAGCAGAAAGCATGGGAGCCTCTACGCCTTTAGGAAGATTGCTTATTTAGAGGAAATGAGTTGTAGATTGGGGTTGATCTAAGCAAAGCGTTCGTACACCATTGAGCAGGACTTCATTCCTCACTGCCTTATGTTCATCGAAAGCTTTGTCTCATATGTATGGGAAAGTTTAGAACTTCATTTCCTTTAATGGTTGGCTGTTCAACTGTGAAAAGTGAATTCTCTCATGCCAGCCAGTTCTTCTCGTTACTTTGCTCAGAGTTTGAACTATTTACAGGGATTGTTTCACTTCCATGCTACACACCAGGGCGCTTCTTCATTCATTGGACAAAGTCACTTCCTAGAGCCTACATAAAGGAGCATTTTTTCCACCCTTGTACATCACTTTATCGCCCTTCTTTAGAAAGTCACTCAGACTTACCTAAGAGCTTTTGAACGGTAAAGCGACAAATGTGTCAATAAGAATTCCAGCCGCAGGGTTTACCAATTACCTCCAAGTTGGACGATGAGGAGAAGTCTGATGTCATTGCTACTTACTTAGCATGAATATTTACATCAAGAAGCTTTCTCGCTTGAAATTTCTTAGCTATTCGACCATGCCAACCACGCCAATAGCAGACATGCTAATTGACTCAGTGGCTGGTCATTTTCGCTAAAGAATTGCATTCCGATCCCTTTGGTCAAGCTCTACAAAACCAATAGATCGAATAAACTCCTATCTAGTGGGCAACTTCTTAATGCTGCCACCACTCGCTGCCTTTCGCAGATCGGGATCTAGCACTTGAAAGTGAGTGGCTGACCAAAGAATCCATTTCTTTTGAATTTCCCACTCCATCCATAGTAGGACTTGCGTTTGCTGTTGCCCCCCTCTGTAGATCTTTGACTTGCTGCCCTTTTGCTTGCTCTGTTTGAGCCATTCCACAGGTGCTTCCATGGTCTGGTCTTGCCATGCCCGCTAAACCAGTCCACTAGCCGTTACCGAGAAGGGGCTAGCTGCAAAATCAAACGTCAGTTTTCAATACGGGGTAAAGGTCTGCAAAATGACTTCCAAATGACTTTAGTGTTTGGCATTTCCTTGCTTTAGTGCTATTTGTGACCGGGTCACGGGAATCCACTAGAGGTTGACACCTACTTTTATTAGACCTGTTGAAGACTTCTCATGGCTCAAGTTTGTGGGTGGTGGCGATGGAAGGGCTTCAAAATGATTTAAAGAGTTGCTCCAAGGCAGAATAGGAAGCGATTCAACTGAGCCGATCATGCTTGGCTTGTGTAATATTCTTCATCCCTGCTTCTTCTTTTAGTTCTTTATGGATTGGGAAGTGAAGAAAGAAAGTCCAAACAATCTCAATCAAGCTGGTAGGAGGGAGAGGGAGGTTACCATTCTTTCTGACCGGGTGCAAGAAATCCATTAAGTAATGAGAGCTCTTACAGCATGAGCTGCCGGCAAGAAAAGAAGGGTGCTTGCTCGCCTTGTAGTTTCTGTTATAGGCTTTCTTCTTTGTAGAAGCAGGATACCATTCCTATGAGACCAGTCAAGCTCTTCTAATTGGAAACTCGCTTCGCAAGGTATGTGGTATTTGTCCCTTTAGAACCTCCAAGAAGGTAGTGACAAGACATAGGCTGATTTCATTCATTGATTCTCATTCGATCTATAGTTTCCAATACGGAACTCAAATGCCCAGATGCAGATCAGTCAGATGTAAGCCACCCACCTCTGAAACTATGACATTTTGCCCGAAGGTTTTCCACACCTCTTCTTTCAATAGAGAGGTACTATAGAGAAGCACTTTTGCCTGAGGCACTCTCACTCCCCTTTACGTTGGTTGGGGTCAAGCAGCAGACCACCTATTTCGTTAGGTTGGTACAGTGGTTCGGGTAGAAGAAGTGGAGTGGGACGACACAAATAGGAGACTGGTTTAGTACTTCATGCAGCAAAAGAAGTGTCCGAAGTGTCCGCTGGCGTGCCACAAATTCTGGGTCCGATTTCAGGTGGAGGTCTTTTTTAAGACCGCGAGAACACAACAAGAAAGCACGTTTATCTCATATGGATGTTCAATAGGATTCCTTTCCTTTTGGGTTCGGTCACATATCAGATAGGGTACTATTCATAAGGTTCGGTCACATGAGGAAGAATCTTGCACTGCCAGTATTCCCACATTCCCTACAGTAAGAAATGGAAGCCAGGGATGAAGACTAGGACTCCACCCAAGCATTTCCTTGGTGACAGTTCACAGCTTAAGGGATGACAGAGTTATGCGTAAGAGCAAGGAGCCTATTTGTTGAAGGTTACGAAGACGAAGGCTGAATAGTTGAGTTGATTTGACTGGAAGAGGGAGGTAGCCAAATAAGACTAATGAGATTACAGGAGAGGGAAAGCCGAATTTAGCGAAGGAGAGGCTTAGGAAGATGCAGCTTTCTTCTATGACCAGATTGAGGAACTCTTTGCTTGGTCTTCTGTATGACGCTGATTTCAGTAATTTCCTTTGGTGAAGGCTTATTCTTCTGCAAAACATTACTAGGTTGCTCCATCTCACGCGAAATGGACAGATCACTAAGTCCAGTGAACTGATGAGAAGCGAAGAAGAGTTTCGGAATCATTCTAAATGAAATACGCATGGATAGACCTAAACATCAAAGCAAAGGGAGCAGCAGGAAGGAGACGGAGAAATGCCCAAAGACGAGGAGGTTCGTTGAGACCTCAGGGTTAGAAAACATAATAGACTCCAGGCAAGGCAAATCCCGAAGCTCATGCCGATGCCTAGGATGTTCCAAGCTTCCCACATGAACAAGCTTTGAGTCCTAGGGATAAGGATTCTCTTACACAGACAGGAAAACAAGAATGGCCACATGCAATACTGAGAGCCTACACAGATTCTCCCTATGTAATATCACATCATCACCAAAATCTGCACAAGCTGTACAGCCTGCTTCAAATAAATTAACAATACAGTGTGCAACTAACAGCAGGGCAGATCTGAGCCGAATACAAAGCCAAAGATGAGAAAATTCCCGCTCTCCAATGATGCTCAAAAGTTGGCCACTTCAAGGCATGTGACCCCCTTTTGCATTACCTAATCAAGGGAAAATGGGTGTCAGAACAGTTCCCTGGGTTTGCCTTCAATTGTGACTAGAACCCCCCAGCAAGGAGCACGAACTTCCAATACAACCAATATCAGGTCCGTACCAATACAACAAGGTCCTCAAATAGGGGGACAGCACAGGTATAAGAGAGCTCTACTCAGCAGGTAAGGTAAATAAAGCAATTCAACAAGAAAACCTTCTACTTTTGCAATAGATCGGCTCTGAACTTGAACTAAAAGAAACTGGCTTAATTGACATCACTATAACATCACTCTAGTGCCTAAAAAAGAGGACGCTAATATCATTATCACCAAAATCTGCACAAGCTGTAGCAGCCTGCTTCAAATAAAATCACATATATATATATATATATATACCTTGATTAATGCGATGTTTTGCTGCTTGTGAAGTAAATTCCACCTGTTCTCAAAAATAAGAAAATTGTAATCAAAATAATACAGAATTTAGGCGTTTGTATATACTCACCATATATATATATATATATATATATATATATATATATATATATATATATATACACTCACCTAGATCCGGCGAAGCTTTGCTTGTTGATTCCACCTGTTTTGAAAAAAAAAATAAGAATCAAAATTAAACATGCTTCCATAAAGCATTTCAAATATGTTTGTAGACACAGATGGTGAATCATAGGTTCATTTATATATTGAAAAACAGATTATCTTAGAACAATAGATCTGGACTGAAATGTTAATCACACGACTAGCAAAAAAAGAATCCCGTTTCGTACAATGCCTCTCTGTCATCAACTAGCGAAGAACTGACCTAGAAATGTGAAACCCTTCTCCGCGAGAATTCTCACCTCCGAGCAACTCCAAAGCCAGCTTTCAATTTCGACCCTCTTTTATAAGAGTAGAGCTCGATCCTCTGCACCAGATCCCATTCACTAACTTGTGAAACTCACATGCCCTGCTGAATCAAAATACCAAAAATACTATTTGACCCCTATCCCTTATGTTATAGACAAAATTGTCCTTCTTCTTCTTTTTTATTTTTATTATTTTTATTATTATTATTATTATTATTGTTTTTATGATGCAGGAACTCTAGCAACTATATGCCTTTTGGACTAGTAGCTCCCAAATAAACTCCCCGCAACCCACCCGGCCCCACAGTGCAAATGTATAACTATTTTAACTTTTAAAATAATCTTTATTTAGACCATACTATTTTAAAATTTGATTGAAAAATTAGGGAAAAAAAATTTTGAGTGCTAATTTAAACCGGGCAAGGTGGGGCGGGTGGGTGCAAGAGAACTTAAACGGAATGGAGACAAGATGCATAAAGTGTTTTTTAAAACAATTTTGAACAGGAAAACTTAGGATCTATTTGGCAACCAATTTTGTTTCGTACTTTTATTTTGACCAAAAATAGAAGTGTCATTTTTGCTGTAGTGTGTTTTGAATATGAATCGGAAGCATACTTAATAATATAAATTTTTTGATGAATTAGAAAAGCAATAACATAAAAACATGTTTGGTAACGTCAATGCATTGTAAGAAATTTAAAAACAAAACATTAAAACCATGTTTGGTTACTCCAAGGGCTTGGTTTGTTCACTTACAATACTTTTACTTCCAGTTTTCTACTATCATTTAGCGAGGTGTACAAAGATTAGATTAAATTTATATGTATACATATTAAGGAGGTTAAATTTACATTCTAAAGAAAGCATTCCACTCTATGCAGGGCAGTTCATAAACAATTTTATAATTTATGAGAATTATAGATGACAGTTATATAAAACACACCTTTTTAAACTCGAATTTCATGAATAATTTTTCGTCAAATTCACAACCACCAAATACACTTGAGAAGAAACTAACACTATCGATCTGTTTTTCTGATCTCAAACTTAAATATGCTACATCTTACATCATGTGTAAGCCTCCATGCAAAGGACTTCATTTTCCATTGAAATGGATGGATATACCTATGCTCAATGCCTTCCTTTCAGAAAGTCTGTACAAAGAGACCCAAAGTATGAAAGAAATGATGAAAATCATTTTGCTTTGATATGTTCACTTATTTTAATGCATTGGTCTTAGACATCTGAGCTTGCTCGAGCTCGTCTTTGTGCACCCTGACGTATTCTCTGCAGTGAAGACTCTGTTTTCCTAGCCTGGTCAAGAGGATTAAAGGCTTAATTCAAGATCATCCAATGCAATAGGAACTCCAAAAGGTAAATTCTCCGTAGCAGTAAATATCGTAATTTGCATACTAACCACACTAACGAGGTCGGCAGCCAATACATGATAACGACCAGTGATCTCAAAGGCAGCACCTCGTAAGAGTTCATTCCTGATTTCACCGTCAAATATGTGGCAGCTCGCTCACCATCCAAAAAAGCCTGGGAACAGTGGGGTGGTTCAACACAAAGGTTCTATGTCTCAGAAGTAAAGAGTCATGCAAGTACAAGGTAGCAAGCAATCTTAAGATATCTAGAAGCACACATGTCATTTAGTAGCCAATGAGTTGGTCAAGCACACAATAGCTGAAAAAATAAAAATAAAAGAGAATCAAGGATTCCTTTGTAAGGAGGTGGAAGAAGCGCATTCAAATCCAGAGTAAAACACAAGGATCACTTTATTATGTTACACCACAATCGTCGTACCGAAATTATTGGTGTTATGCTTCCATAACCAAGGATCGCTTTAGAATCAAATTTTGCAGAAAACTTCAGACATATATATGGTTACATGATTTACATCATTTAAACCATCACATCAAAAATGCTGATCGATACTTGCATCTGATCTAAAAATAAAACAAAAATACTTCTGCTGAAAGGATCATTACACAGATAAAATAAATAAAAAATTACGCAGATAACACGATAAACTAAACTAATCTAAATGCCACAAGAAAGAAAACTGACACATTGCAAGAGTCTATTTTCAAAGAGGGGGAAAAGAAGGAAAAAAATTAAAAAAAGAGAAAAAAAAAAAAAAAAAGGTAGAGGACATTCAAATCTGCCTAACGTTGCTACTCAATTAAGAATCTAGCAACTAAACACAGTAATGGAAGCATTATGCTCAAGAACATAACTCTATGAAACAGAATGCGACCGCATACCTTCAAGGGACGCAATATCCATACCACATATGGTGAATGCCTAACAGGAAGAGGCTTATTAGTCATCCTATATGTTGCAGTTATTCCCTTTAGTTGTCTCAAGTCCTATAATAATAATTTTGACTAAGCTGTATTGCTGACAAATGAAGATGCAGGAAAAAATAAAAATAAAAAATACACCCACAAATCCATTTATCATTGCATAGTCAGCTGAAATGAAACTTTTGATAATATATGTAGCTTACCTCCACAGACTTCTGAACTAGTGTTTCTATTATTGAATTCATTACTAGAGGCACAAGATCCTTCAGGAGTTTTCCACCCTGTAAAATACTCTGCTTTACAAGATCAAGTACTTCAGTGGAACATGAATTTAGAAGCTCAAGTACATGTCCAAGGTAGTCGCCACAAACCTCCACTGCTAGAGCATTCAGATCATTAATTATCTGCAACAAAGAAAACCTCCATTTACTAAATAAATTGAGCATAATCATCTGCTGAATATGACATCAAGAATATGTGGCCTACAACAAATCAATATGTATGAAAGATGTTTCCATATCAAAGCACATAGCTCGAGCTGGCCAAAGTGTGGTAAAATTACAGCTCTAGTCAAACCATAATACAGGGGTTAGTCAAGAAGACAGTTTAAGATCTGGATTTAGAAAATTTAAAGAAAGAAATTGAGAGTGAGAAAAGCAAGGCATGAAACTTATGTGATCATTGCAGAAGTATTGGGCCCACATTTGGGATTTGAATAAAAATTAAGATCCATAGTAATTATTCAACCTCTTCAAGAAATATTTTACTTGAAGTAAAAAAAATTGCGTTATTAAGCCCATTACCAGCGTTAATCCTATCGATACAAGGCAATGAGAAGGGTAGATAAGATACAAATCTAACTTCGTATTTTTACACAAAATGACTATATACAAACTAGAACGAAGTCCTCATGCTTAAAAGCCAAATTTTTACCATTAAATCGAGTAATAGCTTCTAATAGAATAAGAAGCCATTACTCAATGCTTGCCCTGCCTATACATGAAGTGCTGGATGAGGAAGTCTAGACACAAATCTAAAGCATGCCATTATTCTGCATACAATGATTACTTCTAATAAAACATATCCATCATATAGGAAACATTAGAACTACAAAACAACAATACCATTAACTTCGTGCTGACATACAGTTAAATACCAAATGGGTGCCGCTGGATGGCACATAACTGCTAATGCAGATTATGATATCTTCTGATTGTGCCAATGCAGTTTGCAAAGAGCAGTCAAGCGTTTTACTGCCAACAAGCAATATCTACAAATAAAAGACTTCATGAAGAGCACCACACAGTATAAGGTGATTAATGCTTCTTAATTTGGCAGTTTTGTGTGGAGTTCATTTAATGCGATTGTAATACTCAAAAGTCAGAACTCAAATGAAACAAAAAAGAAGCTTATTGCTTGTAAGCATGAGTTAGAGAGATTGCAAACCAAAAGGACACGCGATATACATGGTTCGGCCTATGTTACCCGGACTCGGGTACGGGTGTCAGACATGGGTGCGTGTCTAGGAGTCGGATTCGTCAATCTATCAATTTTCAGGACACAGGGACTCGGATTAAAAGTGTCCAAATATTGGACACGGGTACTTGGACACTTAAAAAGAGAAAAATTTGTAAGTTATGTTTGAGACATTAATCCTAAAACTAAATATATATATATATATATATATATATATATATATATATATATATCAATTGTACTCTTTTATAAGAATTTTATAATTATTACTGCATTTGTTTGCCTCATTTGATAGGTGGCATGTCATGGCTATGCATTCCCCTGTTACTGCTGTTTTTATGGAACCAGTAAATAAGAAATTCTGAGCTGTAGGGCTCTTTTTGTTTAACCAAGGCCGAGTTTGGGCTTGGGCTAATATGCCTCTGTATCTTGGCATTTGGGCCTGTACAAGTCAAAGCACAATAAAAAAGGAGGACTAATTCAATATGGGCTAATATGTCTCTGTATGTGCATCATGGATTGATGCTTGGGTTTTGGGCCTGTACAAGTCAAAAGCCCAATTAAAAAGGAAGCCAATTCATATAGCAGCTGTAACCATAAAAGGAAGCCGAGTCAAAAGTCCACAGTAGGTCCTTTTTTCCACGTGAGATGCAAGACTTTTTACAGCTGTGTCCCAATGTCTCTTATCTTTCCAGATCCAAATAAACAGGTGTTGTGATCCTGACCGTTAAAAGGTTAGATATTAAGTTCGTGAAACCACGCACAAGATGGCACAAAAAATTGCACAAAAGCAGCGCGTGGGTTCATAAACAACAAGTCGTCTTCAACCTTCAGACCACCGATCCGAACCAGAACGGCCATTGTTGAAACAGAAAGCTTCATATGCCTGCAGATTTAACAAAAAAAACACGAAAAAAATTCCTAATCCTTCACAAGCATCAAAGTACACATCATTTTATGTATTTTCGTCATCAGCCGTGTCCGATTGAAAAATGGAAGGTCGGACACATATCCCGTGTCCATGTCGTGTCGTGTCGACACGAACACTTTGGCCTTCTCTGACGAGTCCAGGTAACACAGGGTTTGGCACAACCTCGGCCTACGTCCATGCCTTGAGAAAACCTCTCAAGGATGCCACTACAGCACCTCCTTACGGGTGGAGAACAAATCTTTACATGTTCTTGCTTGCAGGTGAAGAACCGACCTTATAATGAAGCCATCTCGCTTCTTCTTCTTTTAACGGCTAAGAAGAAACCATTGCTCGTGGAGAGCTCTACCAAATCCTCTCATTAGAGAGACACCTTCTTTCTTTTACGGGTTGAGAAAGAAAACCCTTACAATAGCTTAAACAAGCTTTCCCTTGCCAAGAGCACCTCTTAGGCTTCTTCTCTCAAGAATGGAATGGAAGTTTAGGATTACAATGGATGTCTCTCAAATAGACAAATACAAATTAAAGCTCTCATACTTAGAGTTACAAATAAAATATTCAAATGAAAGCTCAACTCTAAGATTGCAAGATGAATAATGATGAATGATATACAATATGAATTTCATTCATGATTCCTATAGGAGAATTCTACCAAAAAATGATAAACATGTTGTATGCCCAAAGGGAGGTCTCTCTATAGCTCTCTTGCCTAACCACAATGTCCAAACATTGTGTATTTAGAGCCCCTTAGCAGATTGTAGCCGTTTGTAGCCGTTTGGGGGTATTAAGGTAAAGTCCCGTGAAGTTAAAAGGTCAAACTAGCCGTTAATTCAAATTCTGGGTAAAGTTCCAAACTTCAAGTGGCCATATCTCAGCCAATACAACTCCAAATTGGGTAAATTTGAGTCCAAATTTATTACCTTGAAGTCAGCTTTCTAATGCCACCGACCTTACTCAAAAACTCTACCCACATAAATGATTATGGCAGTTTTAATGTAACCTGGTCAGAAAATTCGCAGTCCAGAAACTTGCATCTTGTGATGGTTGTATCTCAGTCAATTCAAATCCAATTTAGGTGAAATTTGAGTCTAAATTTAAGGGCTCAAAGTCAGCTTTCCAATGACACTGGCCTCACTTAAAAAATCAAACTACAGAAATAGCAATTTTAGTCCAGGCTCGTCAGGAAATTTTCTGAGCTGAAAATTACTTCTTATGAGATAGCAATCTTTCTAGCACCTAGGACTTTGTTGTATGGTTCAATTCAGTTCAAGCCCAATTTCTAAGATTCTAGGGACATATAAGGATGATAAATATCAAGTGCATTGTGTCCTAGAGTCGTTTACCAAATCATGATAACAAAGGCTTTATAGATGAAATATTAAATTCAATGCCTTAAAATCTACTTTCTAGAGACCAAAATAAACCATATGATTAAAGTGCATTGTCCTAGTATTTCTAGCTCAAGTGATGAGTTCTTTCGATGCTTATGAAAGCTTGAACTAACTCATTCTTTAGCAATGACTTCATAAATCAAATATATATGTAATGAAGATCATAGTCTATTGCTAATAGTTTAAGGACACATAAATTATATGAATGATATGCATGATCCTATAATCTACAAGTCAAGAGATGAGTTTTCAAGTAAAGTTACTTCAAATATAACTTAACAAATTTAAGCTAGCACTAACCAAGACTATTCTACCCAATTTTTTGATTTTTCATCTTCTTTAAGCTTTGGGTTGATGTTTCCATCTTTCTCTTCAATGTCTTTATGAGCTTCAAGATTTCATCTTCAAGTATAGGATCCTTCTTGGATTTCCCATTGATCCATAAGCTCTCTTGAGTGTCTTGCGTATATAACCTATTTAGCACAACTCAAGTAGACAAAAGAATATGTAAGTTTGAAAGGATCTTAATTCTTATTAATGGATATTTCATTCATAATTAAGACATATCTCAAACCATAAAAATAATAAATAAGAAGAGCAGAAAAGGTTCCACTAAACTTAACCATCTCAGATGTTTGGCTCAGATAAAGTCAGTTTTTCAATGCTTGAAGAAACATATAATATACAACATAATTGTAGTAGAAGTTCCATTAACAAACCTTTTTTTCCCTGATTTCTCGGCAACGGAAACAACGCACAAACAAAAAACTATAACCAAAAGCTCTTAAGTTGAGTGCTTGTTTGTGAACCACAGTTGCTTTGTACTTTTGCTTTGGAGTGTGTTCAATACTATTCGGAAGCATGGTTGGTAACGTATATTTGCTGCAAGATTTTTTAAAGAAAAAACATGTTCTGAATGTTGCACAGGTTTCCTAAACAAAACTCGACTCAGGTATCCTTTAAAGGCTCTTACTTTTATGGGTTGCAATAGTGACCAATCCAAGATCCAAAATTCTACCTCATTTCCATTTCCTACTATTTTAAGACACTCGAGATCCAAATTTTCAGCTCTTCAGTTTTCCAACACATTCTCAACAACGGATAGAACTAGATTTAAGTTCCTTCCCAACAATAAAAATTAAAAATAATAAAATTAAAATTAAAAAAGTAAAATTAAATACAACAAGTGTCCATGCTCGGTTGCCTCGCAAATAGTAAAAATAATAAATAAAAGAGGAAAAAAATCGCCACGCAATTGAGTGAATCGAGTTAACTAACAATTTATGATCCAAAACTTGTTATTGAACGCGTACAACTAAATCAAATGAATAGGGCTCGTACATTTCGGGAACAAAATACGTTCAGTTCATAATTTGTGTAATTCTGTTACTAAATTAAGTCTTAGTTAGAAATTCCCCATTTCCCCAGTCCCCATTATGAAAAACCTAAGCTCCGAAAACTGCAAGATCTAAGACATTCAACTCCCTCTATTTTCTCACAACTTCTCAATCACCAAACAAACCCAAAATTCAGTTCAAAACCAAATCCATTTATATTCAGATTCACATACCTTGGACACTACATGGAAAGTATCGAACAACAACTCGACAGCCTCCCTCGCTGCCGCTGCCTCAACCCGCTCTGCAGCGCCTAGAGCGAGCCCTCCACCGCCCCCAGAACACCAAGATCTTCTCGCGGTTCTCCGTCAACGGTGCCAGCATTCACACAATTGCTCCCTCGACATCAACATGTTTGGTGCTGAGATTGACGAAATCAGCGTAGTGACGGTTGATTAACTCGACGAGCTCGTGCTTTAGGGACGATGAATGGGAATGGAGCTCGGATCGGAGGGTGCCGGATGGGACGAAGGTTCGGAGATCGGAGATGTACGATTCGGATTCGAATGTCAGTTGGAGGAAGGAAGATTGCTTGAACCACATTGGGTGGGAGTCGATCAGGTCCCCGAAGAGGTTGGCAGTGGACCGAGGCGGCGGGAGTGGCGGTGGTGGAGATCGTAGATCCGCCATTGGTGTTGGCTTGAGTGAGTGTGAGTGCGTGTTTGTGTGTTTTTACAGGTTTGATAACTGAAACAAAGACTCGCTGAGTCGCTGGTTTTGTATTATGCGAACAGCAGGATGTGTGGAGCTGTCATTCTCTTTTTCTTTTTTTCTTTTTTTTATTAACTCATAAGTCACAACACTCGCAAGTCATAAGTTCATAACTATGGTACAGTTAGAATAGTAATCAACTTCAAATAAATTACAATGAATCTAGCTTGAAAATTGATTTTATCGACATTTAATTTCGATATATCATTGTTTTGATAAAAAATATATATTACAATGAATCTAGCTAGAAAATTGATTTTTTCAAAATTTAATTTCGATATATCATTGTTATGATAAAAGATAAAATTGTTAGTATTATTTTGATAAAAAATATATATTACAATGAATCTAGCTAGAAAATTAATTTTATCAAAATTTAATTTCCATATATCATTGTTTTGATAAAAGATAAAATTGTTAGTATTAGTTTATTTTTTATTTTTATCTCAAAAACTTACTTGTGGTTATAGTTAAACCTCCAACAATACTTGCTTACCAAAAAAAAATAATTGGATTAAGTTTTTTGATGACGGTGAAACTTAAGAGTTCAATTATAAACCTGGTCACTCCCTGCTAGAGTATTTGTCTTAAATATACTTATTAACATTATTCAAATAAATAAAAGAAAGCATTTAGTCATGATTTGGTATAAAAATAAAATATGTTTTCTTAAGAACTTTTTTTAGTTGATTAATTATAAGACAATCATAGATTCATATTTATTTTTAGGTGTGTGGGACAAGACCTCCATTAACAAGTGCAAGCATTTACATTTACACAAATAATTTGATTTTTTTATTCCCTAGCTTCTTTCCTTGTCAACAAGAAGGCAACGAATGATTAAATAACACAAGTCACGCTTTAAAAGAACAACATCAATATATATATATATATATATATATATATATATATTAGTTCACACATGAAATCTTATCAATCACAATTGAAAATTCAAATCCAATTCCTTTCATGGATTTGATTTCAGTGAGATACTTGTAGTTGTAATTCTTTATGGCTTAAGGATTAGGGCAATAAAGTAGCACTAGAAAGAGATAATCAGATATGGATTTGATTTGAATTTTATTGGATTTAACCCAAATAACTTGTTAAATCTTTTACTAAATTTATTTTTTTACATTGCAAGACACTTGTTACTTTGTTATTGCGCCACATTAATGACAATGCAAATATTATCCTTAAACCTACCGGTTTAAATTTGTTCATAAATTAACGAGTTAGTGCTCTTACCTGTGAGATATTGTTGTATAATTTTCTTTAATAAATGAGTAATGATAGAGGAATCGAAAAGAAATCACCGAATTAATATCGAATTTGACGTGGTTGGTCATTCTTATCACGTGTTAAAACATTATTTTTTGAAACTGTTTAAGTAGATGAGGTGGACAAAAACACGTCAGATTCGATACTTATTAGGAATTAATTCATCGGTCTCTCTATCATTATTTTTAATAAATGCACCATCACTGATTAATAATTTTAAATAGACGAGAACAGCTTTTTGCACGGCAAAATGAAAAACAAAAGTATTGAAAATGTAAAAATTCTCAACTCACTTGCACACACGACACTCATATTGAAAGATGTGCGTGTGGATTATAATTTGTCTATCGCCTAAGTGTAACACGGTTCATTGAAAATACAAATAATTAAATTCTGACATTATATTTTTTATAATTAAACCTACTTAAAATAAATATATAAACAAACTATTTAAAATATTATGAATTTTCTTTTCCCTGTTAAACACTCACTCACAACATGTCTCTATCAAGTTTGAATTCTCAACTTCTTCCTTAAGGGTTCGTTTGGTTAGATGGAAATAGATGGTAGAAAGTGAAAGAAATGAAGTGAAGGAAAAGAAAATTAAGTTTTCATGGTGCATTTGGTTAGCATGAAAATTTTTCAAGAAAGCTGTGAGAAAATATTATGTTGTTAGTTTGTATAGAATGAAAGAGAAAATAAAATGATTGTACTTGTCAAAATTGCCCTTGTAATTTTAAATACTAAAAATATAAATAAATTTGAGTAAAATTAATTCATGCATCAAATTTTGTTGTTGAAAATAATATTCTGAACATGTATAAGACACCAAGTCATCTGAATTACTTTAGTCAAAAATATTTTAATATATATATGTGTGTGTGTGTGATTTAGACACAATTTATATAGTAATTGTAAGGACTTTGATGAAATCAAATAAGATTAGGATTGCTCCACTAGATGTTTGTTTATATTAGAATAACCAAAACCAATAGAATTTTACAAATACCAACCATGTTTATGAGGGTTTTCTTTTTGACTTCAACTAAAATTATATAACTATAGAATATTTTGTATTTTTCTTTTTAATAAATGTATATATTTCTTAAAACTTATAATAACTCTAGTATCCAAATTCTAAAATCTAGTTGATATGTAAATGTACATATTGTAAATTAATATAATGCACTTAAAAAATACCCACCATAATATGTTATATGTATATATCTATTTGGAAGAAAAAAAAAAAAAATGAAGAAGAAGAAAAAAAAGGAAAAAGAATAAAGCGATAAAAATAGATTAAAAAAATGCTAAAAATAAGATCTCCTCACTTTCATGAGTTCATTTACTTTTGGGAAAAAAAAAAAAAAAAAATGTCTCTCAAAAAAGGAGAAAAAGATAAAAGGAAACCAACTGATAATTATGGGTATAATAGGAATTTAAAATATAACTTCACAACTTTCCCGAGAAACAAAATTTTTCGCGTGTTTTATACATGAATCGTTTTAAAGAAAATTAGCTACTTTCGGGAATCCCAGTTTCCTGAAAACTTTCACTTTCATCATAAATAAACGCGCAAAAAGTTTAAATATTTTCTGATTCTTTTCCTTTCTTGCTAGTTATATCTAACCAAACGAACCCTAAGATTAGAGATCAATAATATCTAGACTAAAAGGTCCAATGGTGGTATAAAAATAAATTGCAAGAGCAGTTGTGAATTTGTGATCGAAATGGTTGTGGATCCCAAATGGATACAATCTTAGTCGATTTATTTTCATTTTTATTTAGTATTAACTTGGGTTTTTTCTATTTTTTTTTTCCATGTTCATCTGTCTCCAAGAGGTAAGTAGTAGTAGTTCCGGAGCATATTTATAAGTATCTATCATTCTAGCTACAGATCCATATTATAAAATCCACTTCGATTTGAATTTCGAACGAAATCTGACCCATATAATTTAAACATGATTCAAATAATATAATAAAATACTCAACTCATGCCAAATCTCAAATAAAATTAGGGATGGTAATTTCCTCCACCCCGTTGGGTTTTTGCCCCACTCCGCTCCTAATGGGGTGGATTTGGTAGCTCCATAAATGGGTTTAGGGCAGATATGGTAAAAGAATTGAAAACCCGAAGCGGGTTTGGGGTGGGGGCGGATTTAGTAATGCCCCCACCCCACCCCCGATTATATATATATATAAATTATATATTTAAGTTAAGTGTCCATTAATATATTTTGATTAAATATTCGCTAGAATCACTACTTACTAAAATTTTACAATTGTGCACGTGATTCAATCTTCAAGAATCAATCAAGGATTCAAGACCTTAGTATTCTATCCCAAGTCCAAGAATTAATTCAACAGTTTCAACTTTACCGCAATTAAACGAAGTATGCGGGGCGGAGTTGGTATTTTGTCTATCGGAGTAGGGGCGGGGATGGTATACCAATTATAAACCTGTCCCGGAGTTGGAGTGGAGTTGGTATGACGGATTTTTTAACGTGGCGGAGTAGGGTTTAGCCAACTCCACCCCAACTCCGCCCCGTTGCCATCCCTAAATAAAATTCAAATTAAAGTGTCAACAATCACCCAGATACATAGCCAACTCGAATCCATGCCCAACTTCGGATTTATATTGAGTTTTTAAACTATCAATTTTTTTTTCAGATATTGGCATTATTAAATGGGACAAGTGCAGAAAAAACTCCTAAAGTATACTCCCGTGTAGCATTTTTATCCATATTTGAAAAAGTGTGCAAAAAATATCCATAATCTTTTCACATTGTGCAAAAATATTCCACCTGACATAAATTAGTGTTGTAATACCCGCTTTGTCATTTTACTCTTCTGAAAATGCCCAAGGGGTATATATGCTATTAATATCATAGAATACGGTTGTTATGTGCATATTGCCTTATAGATATATATTTTTTTTTTCTGAAACTTTTTTCTCTATATATATCTCTAAACATTCTTTTAAAAAAAAACTTAAAAAATTTGTAGAACAAGTATTTGAATATTTTGAGATTTCAGTTTACTCTTTTCTACTATTTTTTTCTTTACTTTCTTTTTTTCGTAGTTAAACAAAAATTTAAAAAAATTTCCCAATATCAGTGTGGACTGGTTTTCAGAGCTTAGAGCAGATTTGTTTTCTTTAGTTTGCACTTTATTTTCGTTTTTTATTTTCTATTTTTATTTTTTTATAATTTTATTTTCTTTTATGTTTTTATCTTTATTTGTCCATTGCAGGCATCATCCAATAGTGTCATTTTGGTTATTTTATAGATTTATTTATTTTTATATATTTTA